CGTATGTACAACAACTTTCCCTTGAACTTTTTACATAATGATAATTTACTGTAAGAAGTGAGGACGGAAACTCTCGCGGGACTTTTAAATTTCTCTCAACTGTGAACTGTCTAAAAGTTATATGCGTAATATAATAAATTATCAATTATATAAAAGAAATATATGCAAACTTTAACTTAACTAAGTTATTAGCGTTTACAATATAACAAATACTTTGAATTTCTCTAATTTCACTTATAAAATTTATTACGAAGTAAGTAGTACTATGAGCAAGTAAAATAAAGTATTGATCTACCATCTAGCTACCCACATAATATGAAACTGCAGCCAAGTTAATTTTTGATATGCTATTTAAATGCAAATTTAGAACTTATAGTGCCATTTTCACGGAAGCTCCATAAATAGTTTTCGAATCTAAAATAGATTAAACTGAGGGTTCCGAATAGTTTCAACCTTCACAGATTATTAATAAGACATGATTTTTTTTTTAAATATGCAACAAAACTTGTCAATACGCGAATGAATTGTTATTTACATCATAGACATGGATTATTTTATTATTTTATATCTAATCACGTTCCATTACGGGTGACAAAATGTGGTAGCTCTATTATTATAAAAAAAATAGTTTGTCTGTGGTCTTAATACTTGTATTGATCTCGAGTAATCTCATATCTGAAATGCCGCAGACGATTAAACTGTTAATTGAAATTTTAAGAGGATCTATCTGATGAGATTTAAACGGATTACAGAGATGATATGTATATAGCCTTTAACAGTAAAGCGACAGCTGTTAAATACTTCGACCAGGAAATTGTGAGCTTATATATTAAACTAGCGGTCGCCCGCGACACCGTCCGCGCGGAATTAAAAAAAACATAATTAACATATGTATTCTTCCAGACTATGTTCTATATGTATGCCAAATTTCATCTATCATCGTTCATCCGTTCTGAAGATACCTTTAAGTAAACATCCACCCATCCATCTAAACATTCGCATTTATATTATTAGTAAGAAATTAGATGGTGTATTTATTGACAGGTAAATGAGCAAACGGGTCACGTAAACAATGTGACCTTCGCTAGAAAAGTATAGAGGAGTAAGACAAGGATAATAGCTGAGACGTTAGCAGCTGGCATGAAGCGTTATTTAGAATTAACCCATATGTGTGTTGTAGTGTTCATTCGATCGGAATCAATCCAACCCATATATTTAAAAGAAGATGTTAATTAAAATTACTGTTACTACTAGAGTCGGAGTGATTTGGGAGGTTTGAAAGTTTGCCGATTTAAAGAGTGAAATTCACACAAGACTGAGTATTGAAGCGACTTAAAATAAGCCTTACAAGAAAATATAAGTATCTGAGAAGACTTTGTGTTGTTTGAAATGTAAGGAATCTTTTAAAAATCATATATTAAATCAACCGTAGACTTTGTGGGTATTAAATAAATCTCGCAAGCAAGCGTTGTAAGCTAAACGTTTGAACACTTGAAGTGAAGTCGCGTGGAAGGAGCGGGCGCGTTAGCTCGTACTCTGCTGTCGCTACTTAACGTTGTTAGTTTAGGTTCTCTCTTCGGATAATATTAGCTAGCACCTACAAAATATACGTTTACAAATCTCAACAATTACTATTTACAGTAACGTATTTACAACAATAATATGATCATTATCATTATATTAAAATGTGAATCGAAAACTTTGTAACCCTTTTATTAATTCATTCATTCATCATAAGCTCACTATACGTCCCCACCGAGGGGCTCGGAGCCTATCCTAAGTTAAGGGTGATTAGGCCATAGGTATCCTTTATACGGAAAAAATATAAAAAAAATATAATACTTTAATTACGAATTATGGTCGAATTATGAGCAATTGGCAACTACCGTTATGAATAGGTACATAGAAAGACATTAATTACATTTCAACGCTTTTTAGCGCGTTAAAAACCGCCCGTGCAAATGGGGACTTACATGATTCTTTTTAATAATATGTTGCGTCAATATTTAAAGAAATAAATTTAATATAAAAACAAATGAAGTTTAACGACGTACAAATCCGATCACTTAATCGCCATGACATGTTGTACTAAGAGGTAGTAATTCTGTCGTGTGGAAACTGATCGCAATAAGTAGAGCATTATTTCCACTAGAATGTATTGCGATGCAGTCTTTTAAATATTTTGTCCTCATTCTTAAGTATACTGATATAAATATTATACTGTCATTTCTTACATTTTATTACAGTAAGAAACGACATATGTTTAATAAAAAGATGAAATCTTAAAAAATATTTTAATGACCACAACGTTAAGGTCACCGACTTTCAATGCGAAGCAACAAAACCGTATAAAAATATACATATATAAATTCCATGCTCCGCAAAAACACTGAAGTGGTCTCTCTAAAATATGGCTTGACACCTACGTAAGTAGCAACTGGTCGACGGTTTTCATAAAATATGAGAGACTTCGTTATTAATTTACTTAAATAAAGATAAATTATTAAGACGTTGGTATGAGTGACGCTCGGGTAAAGATTATTACTTAGTAGCGGTCGCCCGCGACTCCGTCCGCGCAGAAATAAAAATTAACATAATTAGTGTGTTCTTCTAGACTATGTTCTATGTACATGCTAATTTTCATCGAGATCTATTCAGTTGTTCTGGATAGACCTTCAAACAAACATCTATCTATCCATCCACCTAGACATTCGTATTTATGATATTAGCAAGAAGTAAGATTTTATTTTTACCGTTCCTCAAACATGCCACATACTTACTTTTTAAGTGAATATTAAAGCTCTTTTGATATTTAGATAATCTAATCAATCCATTTTTTGGATACTCTCGTGTTCTTAAAATAAATTACAATATAAAATATACTCAATAGTTATAATAAATAGTATTTAATTCAATAAAACCACTTATACGAACCCATTTAAATTAAAAAAATATGTAATTCTTTTATTTAAATGGATAGATAATAAAACGCGGCTTTGTTTAGTCATGTTGAAATGGCTTATAGCATGAATAATCATTTAATACTGTTTACAACGTTATATTTAACGCGATCGCATCACGAACTATCCAACTATGAGTTTACACTACCAGAATACTCGTACGAAAACATTTTAACATCCCTTTCTTTCACTATGAAAAAAAGAGATAGGAATATATTTTTATTCAAGTGCTATGAGAGTGTTAAGTCGCGGTATTATGTATGTGTATCGCATCATGGGCTGTTAGACATATTGATTGATATTGACATGTAGTATAAATTGAAGCTCAATCATTTATGAATATATTATTGAGTCACATTTGACTCACTGTTTTGTTTTTAATGTTTTTCGTTATGTGTTACATATATTACATAACTTCTAAGTATATTTTAATATTAATTAAAACTGTAACTCTACAACAAAGTAATCGTTAGATCGTAAAATTTTTAGACATAGTTTTTACTAAAAAAAATTATAGCAGTTCACAGGTATGTCTATATCTCCCGTAGTGCTGTAAGAAGTTTTAAAACCATAATAAACTACTAAATTTAAAACCAATACAAATGTGGATAATTACCTAATAATAAAATACATTAAAAAGTAAAAGTTGGGGTGGAAATGCTAAAAGAAGCGTCTACGAAAAGAGAATCTCGTTCGACTGCTTAAAAAAATAGTCACGTAGGTTTATTCGTTTAAAGGAATTACTATTTAGGAGTCTCAGGAGATAAACGAAAAAACGCGGGTAGGCCTGATGGGTAAACGAATTTTCAGAAAACACGTGTTCGTACTTCGGATGCTATAATGGTATAATATTGGTATTTTAAATAGATTAATTATTACAAAATCTCAAGAACAAAATTTACTTTTAATTACACTTCTTCATTTTTAATATAATTTAATAGTTAATACCTTTTTTAATTTCTAATCTCATATACAAAAATATAATGATGTTATATCAAAGAAAAATCAATCATTGCGAAAACATTTTACAGTCGGATAAGTTTAAATTGATATAAGAAATGTATTTAGCATAAGTAATATTTAACGAAAGGAATATCAAAGAAACAAAGACCCGAGTATACGAAACAAAGGCTGATATCGTCAAAGGTATCTTACGTAACAAGAAGCTCAGTATCACAACGCTCTATAAAACATTAATCAGAAATAACCTTCCAAGTAAAAATGATAGGAACTTTTTTTGTCCTCTACGAAACGTCTACGCGCTACGCATCATCGTAGCCGCAACCTGTTACGAGACATTATCATTTACGTTCTGCCGTTACAAAAATATTACCTTTTAATAAAGTTTCACTTTTTAATTAAACTAAATGAAATAATTCATAAAAATATCAAGTTTAAAAATAATTTGTTTTACATATAATAATTTGTAAATGTTATCTCGTCATCGTGTTATTTTAAAAATTGTTCTTAATTTCATTTCTTATTATTATGTTACGCACAACGCAAAGACGAAAAATAATGAATGATGATCACTTACGCAAATTACTTCTAACTGTTGTTTTTTCCAAATGAAAAACAATAGATATTTATTTATTTTTACCATTTATCTAACAAGGTATAATTTTACGGTAGTAGCAATAATAATCTATTCTTATTTCTTCAAGAATTTTTTTACGACTTTTTTAATAACTATAGCTTGTAAGTAACTTTGATTTTTTTCTCAAGAATAATATTCTTTTTATTTTTTGGATTAACAAATTGTAATAACTATTCCGCAATTGGAATGAATCAAGGAGAAAAAAATAAAGGAGAAAGATATATTTTTAAAGGTTTAACGCTGGCTGGCAGAAGTGAAGCAAAACTTTCAAAACATTTCCCACTTAAAATATAAGTGTCATTTCGTCATTAATTAAAAAGTTTTTATCGCCCAGCATACTTGTGAAGTTATGAAGTAAAGAAATAACCAAAAAAAAAAATGTTATATAACAAATAAATTGAACGCATGATTAAAAAAAATATCTTAACTAAATATAAGCTTACCGCGCTCGTCGAGAAGAAGTTGACAGTGAAGAGGTAAAGTTTGAAGACGGATAGAGTTGTTAAAGTAACGTTTCGCGGCGATTTTAAAATATGACGCGAAAGTCGCGAGTCAGCGCGACTGTTTGGAGTTGGGTCGGGCGACAGCGCTCGGGGCGATTGCTAACTCTTGCGAGCTCGTGCGAGAGGAGGTACCGCGCGCCAGGGCGGCTCGAGTAGGAATCAGCTTCACCCTCCAGCGTTACATAACGCGGAGTAGCGCAGCGCGCTCCCCCTCCCACCAACACCCCGCTTTTAGGGAAAAGATGAATGAGTAAAGTTTCCTAACGGACGTTATTCCATGGATCACGCTGGTTTTCGGAGCGGCCCGTGGTTATATAAAACTGTTTTTTTGGTTATGCTTTGGTGAAGCTACAGAGTTACAACCACATTTCCCAAAGTCGCCCACGCCGGTATTTTCATTTCTTTTTATGTTCAAGTCACACCATTAATCAAGCGTAAATAACAAGTGACTTTCTGTTGAATTTCAAAAAGTTAATGTGTACCGTTCTACAGACTAATAACGAAACATAAAATTGTTACGAATAGAAAGTGGGGAACAATTAAAAACAATTAAATGTGGGGAAACTGTATGAAGCAGAACAAATAAGACAGTGAGAAAAGAATAAAAATTACTCAACGTAAAAGTTAAATTACATTTCAACTTATTTGGAACGTAACATCGTGGCTATCAAGTCGAATCGTTCCCGCTTCATAATCTCTTGCCACTGAAACAGCAATAAAAGATAAACCTAATTGCCGAAACAATTAAACGGGACTGAAGAAACTCGGGGCCGGATCGGCAACCGTCTTATAACTTGTACGAGTCAAACATAGACCAAGAGCTGAGCCGACTTGAGATTTGCATTTTATGCTAATCATTTTTTTTTTCATGAGAAATACCTTGCATAAGATTTTTAATTATACATCTCCGGATCTATGCCAATATTTAAATTAATAATTATTTTTCAACCATCGCCTCCAATCCAATTTGTTAAATTATTGAACTGGTTATTGAAATTTATAAAAACAAAAATTACATTAACCTATAATATTAGTTTGAATCCATATAGGACGTATATGTTCGATTTTTACTGCAATAAAATAGATTGACACTAGTACAATACTTTGAGTTTCCAGCTCTGTTTTCCAAATAAATATTTTTTAATCCAATCTTTTATTTCTATTTGTGACTTCTATCTATATTTAAAAGTAGAAGTGTTTAAAAGATGCAATATTTAAAAAACAGCAATCATAAACGAAATTTGAATCTAATAAAGTAACTGCGAACCTTACGGTTGTAAGTTCAAATCTATTATTCGGTTTATATCATGACATAACCTGGCATAACTTATCCCGGCCCGCAGGTCAAAGAGAATCATAGCCTACACGCTATATAAAATCTACTATAATAATCTGCTTAAAATAGGGTAGATATCACAATCTTTAAAAGGCCAAGGGCGTTTGTAAGTATAGATTTATTTGAGATTTCTAAATTAATAGGGTTCCCTTAGTCACCAAGTAACAATTCTGGGTTTGACAATATAGTTTAAAATTTTAAGTTCATTGGAAATTCGCCTCACACCTTCATAAAAAGTAATATGACTAGAAGCAAGTCTTAGTACGTTATTCAATCGACGTCGCCATTTAACATCTTACTTTCTTACTAATATTATAAATGTGAAAATTTATATGATGTTTGTTATAAGGTATCTCCAGAACGACCGAACGAATCTCGCTGAAATTTGGCATAGATGTAGAACATTACCTGTAAAAACACATAGGCTACTTGTTTAGTTGTTTTTATTCCGCGCAGACAGTCACTGACAACAATAGTAAACAGTTGGGTTATAAACTAAAAAGTATGCGTAAAATGTATTTAACTGACAGTTTTCATAGCTGAAACATTCATACTTTGTTATCTCGATTAAACATATTATATGTTTCAGCCATGGAAACACACAGTTACAATTCACTGAATAACATTTTAAGGGCAGTAATTTGTCTCGAGTATGAACGTGTAATGGGTCGACGCAGATATTATAAAATTAATTACTTGCTTTCAGATTTTTTATGTGACATCGTTGCTTTGGGGTTAAATATGTGACGCTGAACAAATGAGATTAAAATATGAATCTTTTTATAAATATTTTAAAAAATAATAAAGACACTTTATTCATGGAACAATAGTTGAATCCATCATGTGTTGTAATACCTAAAGTCTGAATAATAAGATAACAAAAAGCCTGCAAACTACTGAGCTAAAGAAGAAAATTAAGTCGGTGAAAAGAAAAGACCAGTCTCTTTCTACCTATTTGTCAATCTTTCAGATGTTAAGAAGTAGATATTTAGCTGTTTATTAAAGAAAAGCTTCAAGGTGTATAATTAAACGCATGAAATGCAAACCGCCAATAGACGTATAATGCAGGACAATCAAAGAATTTAAGTCGCTTCTAACTTAGAACCGAACATTGGGCAGCAAAATGTCTATACGTCATATAATTTAGCATTCGAGGTTCTTAAGGTGAAGAAAAACATCGTGATGCCGTTTGCACATATCTTGAAGAAATTTAAAGATATGTGTGAAATCAAACAACGAGCACGGGGCCAGCCTAGTTGACTGGTCTATTCAAAACTAACTTAGGGTAGGCTCCGAGTCCCTTAGTGGGGTATAGTGAGCTGATGATAGAGTTTTATCTACCTAATTGTTACAAAAAGGGTTATTAAAAAAGCTTTACTGAATAAGTGCATTGAACAAAATTTACTTAAGTAAATTGTCTTGTGGTACAATAAGAAGAAATATTTTCCATTTTATTGTTTTATTAATTTTTATTCTCACAAACCTGCAGCCATTTAATACCACGTGACTTGTATTTATTTCCGATTTCTGCAACATTTGTGTCGGATAGACGGATATTACTCCCATCGTGTAGAGTTCAACAACACGTAATGCCTTCATATTATGTCGCCGACGTAATTAATATCATCCACAGAAATTAATTTCGTTTCATTAATTTACTACCGGTCTTATTAACGTTTACCAAAGTTGTGTTACTCTAACGAATCGACGAACATTTGGATTTCTAGGCCTTTCATTCATAAAAACTATTTAGTGGCTAGAACCTCATTGCGAACATAATTTAAGGTGGAACTAAGTATGCTTATATATTTTTACATCTCGCCTCGGATCTAGCTTTTTCGCGGCAATGATCCAGTCATTTGCACGTCATTGTACAAAAAAATAAATGCTTTTCAAACTTCTTTAGGAATCTCTCCGAAAAGTGAAGTTCTCCAAATTATTTTTTTTGAAACCAACCTGGTTAACACAAAACAAAACTGGATAAGTTTAGTTTTTTCATCTCTTCCATATTAGAGTAAAAAATAAAACAACAAAGGTTTAAATTAATTTATTCATAACATAGACACATCTTACAAATATTTGCATTTTTAAATGCCAGGTAAAAAGTAATTACTAAAATAGTTCCTTGCAAAACAACATAATAAACTTAACCTAAACATAAAGCTGAACAATGTAGGAGTCAGGATAGATTGCATAAAATTAAAAATGCAACAAAAAATTGGTCAATTCATTATAACATAAATAAAAACACTGGAATAAATTTTGCATTGTGTGCTTTGAATTGAATAAAATTGTAAAATTGTAAATGCACGCAACACAATTTAGTCGCCCTTTAAAAAATTATAGAAAGAACTTTTAGAAATAGCGCCATCTTGTTGGAACACGAATGAAATAAAAGAACCAAAACTGTGCTAAAAAAATCATAATACAACTAAGCGTTTTGTAATAACATATATATTCAAGAGCACTAAAGTATGAAATCGTCAAACATGTAATAGTTAAGTAAATATCTTATTTATAAGAATAAAGAATGAATAGCATAAGTTAAATCTAAGTAATCAATGTTTACGCCATGAAATACTTCATAGCATGTTAGCTTAATCCAAAAGAATTTTTGACTAGGGGTATGGGTTATAGCTTAAAGCTTGCCCATTCATTACCCGGTTACATGAAAATGAATTTCGCGATCCTAAAAGATGTTTCCCGTTGGGCCGATGAACTTTTTTTGGTATTGGGGAAAATCTTAATACCCTACTCCTGCGGGGGAACAAAGATATGTGGGGGTTTAACCACTGAAGTCCCCTCTCTGGCCACTGCATCCAGCTTGCGCAATAGCCAAAGAACATACGCTCGATGGGCCGTTGGACCTACCGATATATAGGTCCAATGAGAATTTTATTTTCCTTCGTATCATATGAATCCATAGAATGAATCCGAGCAGTGAGATGTTTTTTTTATTCTATGGACTTAATCAGCCCTATGGTAAAAAATTCGAGGCCAAACGGGAAACACTTACATTAATCATACTTAACTAACCTTACTAGTTAAAACATTTATTAATAATAAACAACTACATTTATATGCAAAGTTCTTCTGAAATGGGAAGCATTATCATATATCTAGTTTATATAGAGTATGAAAAGTACTGGAGCGAAAATTGATCCTTGAGATAAACCGGATCAAATAACATGTCTTTTTAAGTTGTTTTATCAAGAGTTTCTGAGGCGAAAATCTCCATTTAAAATGTATTGTTATCCCTACAGGGATGACGATAGGTTTTATACAGAGATTTCGTTCTCAACCCACGATTAGTGTTAATGCTTGTGTTAAATCGATTAACATGATAGCTAAAGATAGGATTCAAATAATCATGTAATATATAAACCTGATGAAATTTGTATTTATAGAAAAAACTACATGACGTTTCGAATGCTTTCGCAGAATCGTATGTCCAGAAATTTTCGTATATTTATAAAACTATTATGGTGATTTGTGTTAGTTTAAAGGTACGCGTCCATTGGAACGCGTCGGACGCGTCGGAGCGACGCGGATGACGGATGCAGCGGTAGGTAAGATCATACAAAGCAAATTACAATCCGCTGCGGGTCCAATAGACGCGTACCTTAAACGATCAAAATACTGCAATCTACTACAATCTTTTTAAATGGCTTATGTCTCTAAGATATAATAATATATTGTTCACTTGTGCGTTTGTAACTACTTATTTGTTATTTAACATTCAAAACACTTATACCTAATTGTCTTAAATATTCTTAGTACAAAGTAACGTTAGCAAATAACATTTAACATCGAAAGCCATGAAATATCTAATCTAATTTGACTTTCTTTGTCCTGCAGGATTGTAATTCGTTGCGTTAATAAATTAAACATTGAAAATATTGCTTCAAACAAAGAGAACATTTTTGTTAAAAATCAGTCAGATTGCTAATTCAGGGAGAAATGCTGCAACAATATATTTATAAAATGATAAAAATAAATTAATACTTTTAGACAATATTGCGAGCAATGTTGGCAGACGAATGAATTCCGACACAAATCTTTTACAATACGGCAATTTTTTTAAACAGAATATTATGTACATTCGGGTAATTTACGATTGTTATTTTGTATTTTGAAGTTGCATCTTATTCATATCGCAAAGTTAATGACAAATATCTCTATTAATATTAAGTAAGCAGGCCTCAGTTAATAGCCATTATTCCTAATTATTTACTAATACCAAAGTATGTCATTTCTTTTTCATACAATTTAAAAAAAAATTAAAAAGATGAAACAGTTTATTACTATTATAAAAACTTTAAATGAGCAAGTTGAATTAAAACTATTGCTTAAAAGTATAAAAAATATTGCAATTGTTATTTTTTTAATACAAAATAACCAACAAATCTTACAAAACAATAACGGAAGATATCTTCAAAATACAAACTAATTTTACAGTTCAGTCCACAGGTACATAGAAAAAATTATAATAATATGTAGTATAATCTCTTTTGTATTTTAGAGATTCAACCATAAATATAATATTTTAGTACTGTTGTGTTTATTAGTACAAAAAATAAGAAAAAAAAATACCAAAAGGGAAGAAAAATCTGCTATGATTCTTAGAAATTAATTACGTTTTAATTAGTCATATATAAAAAAGAAATGCATTTTCTGGAAAGAAGTTATCTTTTTAATGCTTTTTTCATATATTTTTTTATAAAAATTTAACATCCTAAGTATTAATACTGATTATAAATTATTTAATTTTGTTTACTACATTAAAACACGACTACTGTAACAATTATATTTTTGAGATAGTGTCATCATCAACCTGCCATTATCCCTATTGAGGGTCGGCACAATATGTACTACTCCTCCATACATCTCTGTAGCATTTGTTGCGTTATATTTGACTTGTTCACGTACCGACACGTGCTGCCGGTCCAAAGGTCTAACATCCACTGAATCTACCCCCTTCCTACGCATATCCTCTTTCATACAGTCATTCCATACTTTTTTTTGGTCTTCTCTACCCTTGTAGCCATCCACAGTCAATCTCATTACTTTCTGACGTATATCATCATCATCCCTCCGCATAACATGTCCAAACCACGCTGGCGCTACTTTCAAACTTCCTCTAATACACACATTTTTGACTTTATCCTTTCTTGTCATACCACACATCCATCTTAGCATACACATTTCAGCAACATGCAATCTTCTTTCGTCCCAAAACCTTGGTAGCCCAACATTCAGACCTGTACAATTTTTGAGAGAGTTTAATTTTAATATTTAATTAACTGTAAAAAAGTGATTATCAGCTTTTAAATTGTATAAAAAATTACAAATAGTCAATGTTTCATAGAAATGTATAATTTCGTGTATTTTCAAATATTCTTTGGTCCAATTGTTATGAATTTTTAATTGTTTACTTTTATCTACTTGATGAGTGTAAATGATTAAATATGCGTTTATAGTTTTTTGTATAGATGTGTTCAGTCTTGTTAATAGTTTTTGTTATGGAATATTAGAAATATATTATAAAATGTGATTATATTGAATATGTTTACAATATAATATAAATACAACAATTCTATATATTTGTGATAAAAAAAATTAAATTTCATCGGCACGGTATTGGTTGGAATTTGTAATATATGTAATATATATATAGATACTTATTTTTATAAGGCATTTGTTTTAAAGCAATGGTTTAAATTTTAAAGCGAAGTTATTTTAAAAATTTCTATTACTTGTAATATTATTTTTAACAATAATTGAACAGAATTTCGTCATATCAATGTATTATATATTTTACGGTTTAACAGTGAGTTTCCACTAAATATATAATTGTATCGAAAACATTTTTTACATTCTTTTATTCTTTCAAATGTTTCGTCAGTGGAAATGAATTTTTATGTCATTTCTGAATACATTAATTTTAATACAATAGAATTATAATTTTTAATACGACTATATTTTTTAATTTTTTATTTTTTATACCAAAAAATTTTAATGATAGGAAAGCTTAGTAAGACATTTAAATATTAATACTTGTTATTTGTAAATGTATCTTATTTTAATTTAAATTGAAATTAGGTCGTTTAATAATTTTCAAAGTTAATCTTAAAATTTATAAGAAAAAGGAATGACTATTAATTAGTAATATAGCTAGTTATTTTGACAAAAATATTCATAATAATAAATACTGAGATAAAAGTTATATTTTAAACGTGTCTTTCACTAATCATCTTAATTGTAAAATTATTAGTCTTTGAATTTTATAGCCGTTTTCTGTTAATTTTATAGCCGTTTTCTGTTAATTTTATAGCCGTTTTCTGTTTATTTTTAAATAATACTGGTAATTAAGAGAGGTTAGTTTCAGTTTAATACTTGGTCTAAAAATGTTATTACTTAATTATGTTGAATTAAAAACTGTTGCATGTCATATCAAATAAGAAATCATGAATTTCCTATAATTTATACTTAATACGAAATGTGTGCACAATAACAAGAGTAAAAGAGAGAGATACATAGTTTTATACGCTTGATGTCTCACTCCCACGTATGCAACAGCGAGCGAGTTATTTCATATTGTATTAATTATAACACTTTCTGACGTCATCGTACTAGAGTCTGATGTTATTGTGCACTATAAATAATTAATATTATACCTATTGATGCTTAATTAATTATGAAATTGCCGAGTAATACTGTTTAATAAATATTAGCAAAATGTCATCAAAAATTTCTAATATGAACTTTATTATTTATAAAATATTTTACTGGATTAATTAAGCTGGACAAGTACTGATTATTTAAATTAGGCAATTTCATAAATATATAGCCAATAGTTATAATAAATACTTTACTAATCTTAAAACATACTAAGATTTCTTATAATATAAGAATTTCACCATAAATTGTTATGGTTACCATAAATAATACAGAGAGCTTCCTTCAATTATCATATTTGAGAAAATATTTCAACACATTAACTGCCGTTATGTTATAATGAACTCACAGAAGTGTCGGCAGTTAGAGTGTTTAATACTGGCTGTTCCTAGAGGCTTCCGCATCCTGTCGAGTTATATTGAAGGCTTCAGTCTTCAAGAAGTCAACAGTTTTGTATGCGGAGGACGCTTCGACGGAGGACCAAGATTTACCGTGCATAGCCTCAATGGTCCTGCGCTTATCCTGAAATACATAATGCCAACATATTTACTTATATACATTACATAATCGTAAAGCGTCAGTTAATAACCTAGCTATCTTATACCAAAGTAAAATTATATACTAAAATCATGTTAACAATATAATATAGATAGTAAAATACATAAAGACAGAAAACTAATGTTCTGGTAGGAAGCATACATTAGATGATCGTGATAAACGCGTCTCATAAATATATTCACAATAATGTAAAATCGACAACAAAAGATGTTTGAAACCAAGTCACAATAACGTTTACTAATCTGCCCCATTATATAAACATTTGCAGTATTCTAGAAGCTATTCATGTTAATGCGTTTCTAAATCAAATATAAATATATAAAAGAAAGTCGTGTTAGTTACACTATTTATAATATAACTCAAGAACGGTGTTACCGATATGACTGAAAATTGGTGAGGAGGTAGCTTAGAGCCAGGAGACAGACATAGGACACTATTTATTCATTTTTTTAATCATTATTTTTCCAATTTATGCCTTGAAGAGCTGGTTTTTATTTAACTTACTAATATTATAAATGCGAATATTTAGATGGATGTGATGTGGATGGATGGATGGGTGGGTGGGCTACACTACTTTAGTTTTTTATATATCCAAGCGGACGGAGTCGCGGGCGACAGCTTGTATGTGCATAAATAATGCACCTACGTTTCTCCTTGGATTAATGAAAACATATTTGTCCTTCAAAATTTCCGATACATTTTTTCCATCTATCCCAACGCACGACATCAGAATGAATCAAATTATTAATGTGAATGTTTTGATGGATGTTTGTTACAGAGTATCACGAGAATGACTGCATGACCCTCCCTGAAATTTGGCATAGACGTGGAACACAGCCTGGAAGTCACATAGGCTACTAATTCAGTTTTTTTAAATTCTCCGCAGACTGAGCCGCAGGCAACAGCTAGTTATTAAATAAAAACATATAAATTTTCTTACGCCGTATGATGGTGGCACTGCAGTATGAAGATCCAAATCCAAATATTGTAGCACATCCGAACGTCTGTCTGAATTGAATTGCAAAGCTTTGTGCAGCTGAAAAATTTCCAAAAACATTTAATATACATTCGTGACAATCTTTATCATAGCCTGACCAGAGAAATAAATAAAAATCGGATTACTGTCACCCACTTTAGTGTAAACGGTACGTGCAATCACGACATAGCTACACATTAACATGCTCAACTATAGCTCTTCTAGTCTAATCACAACTTGCTGGGTCTAAAATTAAATTCTTTGACTAGATTCAAAATGTGATACAAGGTGACCGAGGGCCCCTATTCAGATATATTCTTGGTCAGGCTACAATTTGACATATTCCCCAGAAGGCACGATTTTCTCTACCCACTACATAAAAATATCTTGGCTAACATTTTAATGCAGAATCTATTAATTTTGTACATCTGAAATGAACTAGAAATAAGAATATAAAATGTAATTGAAGGAATGAGATGAATGCAGAGCCAGATACAAACACACTGGCCGAACCCAATAATCAATCTAGAACTATGTCTGCTAATTTATCAATTAATATTTTAATCGATTCGATATAAAACATCGATTATTCGGTTCGACCAATGATATTGCGAACTTGAGAGGTATAAAAATCGTGGTGGATGCAAAGTGCTTTAATGGTTCATTTAAAATGGTTAAACACCCCAAAATAAAAAGCAACATTTTAATATCGCTACAATATGCATCGCAATACGCTCAGCTGAATAAATTTTGACGGTTAGAAAAGTGAATAACAAATTTATTCACATTTATTCCACACGCCTTCATTTAAATAAAGAATAAATTCATAAATCAGATAGACTTAGCATAAATTACATGTTTTGTTAATTGTTATTTATGAATATTCATGAAATATATATTATATACATTCTTTATTAATACATAATTAATTACAAATACACATATCTCATAACACATAATAATCAACTTGAGAAAATTTAATCAAACTCTTGTAACAAATCAATTTCTAGGACTATTTTATGTACTTTTAGGATAGTTAAGTCAAAAAAGTTAAGTAAATATAATTATCAAACGTAAAATATCATCCATAGCGATTTAATAAAACGATACTTTTTGTCATTAATGGAATCGTGTGATTTCATAATAATGCAACCCATGACATTAAAAAAATGTATTACAATAAAAAACACTCAGACAAAATAATAACACTACAATAACTTTGTGGTCTATTTTTTAATTAGAGATACTAAAATGACATTTCATGTGTTGCCAGCATTTGCACTTCAGGAATAATAATGTACCCAGATGTATCACTACCATAAAAAAACTTAAATAAAAAGGATATCATTCTTCGGCATTTTTAACATTAATCTAAGCGTTTTTTTTTTCAATTTTAAATAAGCTTGCGCTTGACCAAGATCCAACCTGATGTTACGTATTGATATGGCCGAAAGATGATAATGATTTTAAAGATAAAGTTGTTTAAGGTTAAGATTTATCAATCTGGTACAACACTGCACAAAAAGTGATGACTTAATTATTTTGAAATTTGACATTTGCACGTGTCAAATTACTGTCGCTAACTAAAAAATAGACTTTATTAAGTACAATAAAATATAAAATTCGCAACAAAAGCGAAATGGCGCTTCAATACATGTAATAGTGAAATAATGAGAAAGTAACGATAACAAGTGATATTTATTGTATAGCATAAAATAAATCTGAAAAAAAAACATCCTCATAACATAATCAAAAACCATTTATAACCGAACATAACAATATAAAGTAAACTTAAAAAATATAACAGTGGGTTTCTACAGTCGAAAAACATTTACCAAAGCATTGTCAACCTAATCATTCCTTTTGAAAAAACTGAGACTACAACATTTTTTACGTTACCGAAATTTGACAGTCACAACATGCAACAAGTAAATGTTTGCACAATTCCAGGCTTAAAATAGAAAAGGTGAAAATGATATCTAGTGAACATACATATGATTTTTTTTTGTTAAATAAAGGTTAACGCGCATCTGAAAGGTTTTATCGCAAACGTAGACTCTCCGCCCACCCAGCACCGCCCTGTCTAGAGATCAGCACAGCGTACACTCGCCGTGGCCGATGGGTGAGCAGGATAGAAATATAAGTGAGTGCAAAACGATACGCTACTCTCGTTTAACCCGTGCAAATATGAGTTTTGCTTAAGCTTTCTGATGCGCTTTAACCTTAACCCCCTAAATCTAACACTTAATCTAAAATAAGAAAATTCTACTCTTAAACTCCCAAAGTAATACGAAAGATAAACTTTCCTTAAAAACAAAGTATCCTGCTGCACATCCTCACAGGGTAGAAGAGCCCAATTATTATCAAATATATAGATTTTTTTACAGCTAAAACTGCATTTTTTAACACAGAGTGCAAGTTAATATAATACAATATTAGTACTGATTGATAATTATTAGTAAATATTGATTAAGTAAATAAGGTCAGTACTAAGAAAAAATTAGACACAAGAGTTAGAATACTTTTAAGCCTAGTTCGAATATTAGTAACTTAATTTACATATTTTTTTTTTGTTTTTTTTTTCAATTTTTATATGATGAATATTGAAATATTATCCTAAGCTACTGTATCATAATATTTTTAGAAAGCAATGATGATTTAAATTGAACATCATTCGCATCATTTTCATCCCAACAAGCCTTAAATTAAATTACATATTAATAAATAATTTCTAGACATCTTTTACAATTTTCCTTTTGGTCGATTTAATGTCAGATTCCTTTGAAGCTTTTCCCTTCCACCGAACATTTATATCTTGTCTCGGTAGCGGTACAGGTCGGAACGACCTGGTCATTGGCATGTAAATGTTGTCTGCCGGCCGTTCCACAACATTCTGTAGATCGTCCACAAACAATTTAATATACTGTTATAGTCTTACTAAATTCAGTCGGTTCATAAATTCACGTACAATTCACACGTACAACTGACTGACTCTCATTAACGCAAAGCCAAAACTATGAGGTCTGGAGACTTGGAACGTTTGTCATAGATTTTTGTTACTGCGGAGGAGACTATTATAAAGTCTTTCAAAATTCCTTGGTTCAAGGTCACCCGCGTAGAGTGTTAAAATTTGATTGAAAAGTTATTCCTGCAGCACAGTTATAAAAATCGACATGAATACTTTTCATAAAAAAATGCATGTTTCGGGCTTTTAGCAAGTTTGTCATGTTGGGATGTAAAGTGGGACGAGATAAATAAAAGATGTATTCAATCTTGATTGGTTATTTGGAATAAAAGCACATAAATATGTATTATTGGTGTCAATTAAATGAAGTACATGTCTCATAATTAAATAATATAAATTTATCTAGCATTGTTTATGGCAGAATTGTAAATGAGAGTTATGGATCGACTGTCAATTAAATCAAATTAATGCAATATGACCGGTCGTCAACAAGGCCAAGTAAACCGTTGAAACAAATATTGTACGGTTGCATCGCGAGAATCGCGTTATGCGCGATGCGTACACACGTAGTCGTGTCAATTCGGCCAGTAGGGCTTAGCGACTACATGTCAAGTGTATAACTTTGATCAGCCATCTTGAAAATGCAACGACTGTCATTGTCGATGACAGATAGAAGTGTCGGCGACGCTATGTTCGAACTTCTATGATATTATGTTGTCTAAGTCTCCTAGCGAATAAAATCGCCCATTATGAAAGATATACTTTGCCTTATGTACGAAGGGCCTAAATATCAATAACATTTACTTAACTTATGATGGATGAAAGATGCCATGATGATAATGAAATATGAAAAAAGTAAAACAAAGCCGCATACACTAATTTATAAAAAAAAAAATTGTGTAAGGGCGCTGAATTAACTAGTGAAATCTTATAACTAATAAAGCAGGGAAAAATGGAGAAGCTTCTCCGAAAAAAATACATCTAAGTTATTAATCAGCCGGAATTAAGCAAAAGGCAAATATGGGTCCCCGTGATAATGAATGTATGAAATAGAAATAGTTAACACAGCTATCTATCTTATATTAACTAAAATTATATTAAGCAATTAATCTAAACACACAACATTAGTACAAGGTAAGGCGCGTGGCATTATTTTACACTCTAGTAAGGTTACATAAAATTCTTTGTTTACAACTGTCATCTGTTTAATAGCCAATGGTTGAATAATAATTTTTCTACTAAATACATTTTCAGTGAATGACTAAGAATGGTTTAAGATAATTTTGAATACCCGGATATCTTCATACGTATGTGCAACTACGGGGAAAAAAATGCCACTGAATTATTATATATAGATCACCTGTGGTGGAGAGCGGCGTATGAAGCTAACTAGGTTCATGTAAACGTGTTCGCGTCGCTCTTCCTCTAGCTTCCTTTTCCCATGCACCTTGCATTCGAGGACTGCGCTCGACGACTACCCGAATACAGGTTGCATACCAATTAAACGTACAATATTATATCATCAAGATAAAACTCGCTAGCAAGCTTTTGCACAAATATATTTATTCATATTATAATGCATAGGATGCAAGTTAAACTTTGTACATATGTACACGGATTTATATTCATTATTTTTTTTAAATTACCTTCACCTTATGCATCATCTATACGCAACAGGTATTATGTGTTTGCATTTGTCGAAGTATAATTACTACATTCTGTCCGAACTTGTATATGGCCAACGTCAGTAAATTGATGTTCATTGGCAACACATTGTTATCCTATCATTTCAAATGTTGGTTTCGCTTCAACCCTATGTTCTTGTTAAGCAGTATTATTGATATTGTTCACGATCACCAATCGATAACCAAACATTTCTACGTAAAACCACATTTTAATGAGGTTATATGCAATATTTTGCTTTTATGAGTCACATGGAAAATGTATTTCTTGGCATTTTCATCATAGTCTAACCATCAACCACTATGAAAATCGCTATAATATGAATTAAAGAAAATTAAATTATTTAAAAAAAATACCACTATTTACGCATTTACATTCAAAAACTAAAATTGCGAATTCATTAGTGGATAACGTCAGACTATTCCTTTTAAATAACCAAAATCCTAATTTATTTGAAATATTTAAATTAAATATTGTTGACGTCATGTGTGAACATGTTGCTTATAACATATAAGTCACCTGAGTTGGTGATGGTGGCTCGAAGTAATTTGCATTGGCGTAAGAGACGCCACCTTGAGCAATGTCGGACCTCCTTTCCTCTCTCTCGAGCTCTTCGCGTTCAATCGCCGCACTCATTGACTACACCCGGATATATTTTGCTTAGTTAATTTACAAAATCAACTGTATTGTTTATTTTACTGTTCGACGCAGTAATGCTCTTAATTTTCTTTAAAAGCTGTGTATATAAACATAACCATAGTGGGAACCAATGTACACTATAATGGCCGTTTTCACAAAAAAAAAACCTAATAAACATATATATTGTTAAACGAAATACATATTAGTAAGCGTTAAAAGTGTAATTTGCGCATCAGGCATAACATTTTTAGTGCAAAAATGATAAATGCTTAGATATTTACATGTTTACGAATGTGTCATTATAGCGAAAACGGACATCAAATTATTAAAATATTTGCACGATAATTAAGAATACTTCCTTTTTTAATAAATGTATCGAAAACTATCTTCAAATGTATGCCTCTGGTTGAGGTTCTTGTTAAGATTATGAATGTAATATTTACCTGCATTCCCAGATTGTTCATGTTACCGATGCTATGGCTGGAGTGGCGAGGCTTCAGCGCGCGGTCCACAGCAGGAGGGCAGGCCACCACAATGTTGGAGTACTGCATAGACTGGAACGTTAATTTCACCATTTACCTCATGAACAAATAAATTTTAAAATTTAAGAATCTCCGTCTTAGATGTTAATTCCATATTTCTTTCAATTGCAAAGGGATAGGGCTACATATGTGACCAAAAACAATACAGGATTATTATTAAAATTACCAGAAAAGAATCTCTATTTTTTTTCTATTGGTAATACAAAAAAAAACGATTATGTTTGATATAAAAACAATATCGAAAAATTATCCTAAAAGAAAAACTACTTATTACTCGAACGCAATAAATATGGTAGTGTGCGTGCGCGCACACACAAAGATAACGCTTGCAACTATCCATTCATTACCGACCCGTTTCATTCATAAAAAGCCGAAAAGACATACTCCCCGCCAACTAACTTCTGCGCCCATCGTTTTTTTTAAATATGAACTTCTTAATACCATAAACATTGTTAAGTACAAAAAAATTATGATCATACATTTAAGATCTTATTGGTATACGTTTCTTTTGTTGTTAATTAAAGAATAACCTGGAATTCATCCCAATGTTTCTAACGACGTCACTTTTATTTACATCCATTCTTTCTTCCTTTCCATTCGAACGAGACAAACGCATGCACTTCCCATACGTTTGTCTCGCTCTGGCTCAACTGCCGAGGATTGTTCGTACGATTCCAGCTTATGTCTAAATGATTAATTTAGTCTTGGAGATCTGTGATATCAGCGCAACAGCCGTCACCAATCACTGGAAGGACAAAGTAGACAGTATCGAAGAAGTTCTTCTCCACTTACTTGGTTCAAACGTTCCTCATCATCGTCAGTTATCTTTATGGTGGGCACTTTCAGGGGAACTGCGACGGGCGACGGCGGTGAAACTGGTCTCACAGGCATATGCACTGGCACTGCCAATGACTGTGGCGCTGGCGCTGGGGCTGGTACTGGCGCCGCCATAGGCACTGGCGATTGCACAGGCGCTGGTACTGGCGCCGACATCTGTACTTGCGCTGGCACCTGCACTTGCGCTGGCATATGCACTTGCGCTGGCATATGCACTTGCGCTGGCATATGCACTTGCGCTGGCATATGCGCTTGCGCTGGGATATGCACTTGCGCTGGCATATGTACTTGCGCTGGGATATGCGCTGGCACTTGTACTTGTGCGTTCGAATTAGTACCCTAAATACAATAATTCATTATAATATCATATCAAAGTTTTGTCTAATCAAAATTTTATCATTTTTGTAATACATTATTTCTAATTGCATAATATTAAAATCTTTATCATTACCAAAACCAAAAGTGGTGACTTTCTTTTGAAATTGGAAGTACTAAGTTATATCTCAAAGTGTCCATTAATCTTACTAATATTTTAAATGCGAATGTTTGAATGGATGGATGTTTGTTTGAAGGTATCTCAAGATCAGCTATATGAATCTCACTGAAATTTGGCATAGATGTAGAACATAGTCTGGAAGAACAAATATGCTGTGTTTTTTGATTTGCGGACGATCGCTAGTATTTTATATTTCATAGCGGATAATGGCATATATAAAAAGTCACATTTAGATTTTCCATAATACCTTCACCATTTTTTAAATGAAAATATAAATTCCTTCTATCACACCGCACCCATTACCACAGTCAAAAACAAGTCGAAAGTGTGAAACTATTCAATATTTTGTTATTACTACATATATGTGTCACTAAATTTCATGCATAAAAATACTGTGCATGCATAATTTAATTAGCATTACTTATTTACATATTATACAATGATACAATAATTTTAATTATACTCTATAAGGCACACAAATATTTTTAAAAGTGCCTTAATGAGTTTTTTTTTTTTTAAAATTGGTATATAATATTTTTTTCTATTTTTAGGGGGAGGGGAGGAGGCAACTGTACATGTGGATTAAGGGAACGCAAATTTTTGGCATTTAAAACAGGTTTAAAACATATTTATGGCAGATGCCACACTTAAATGCTTAAAAAATAATTATAAACTAACGAATAATTGAGTCATAAAACATGCCTCAGTCATGCGGCGTCGTGGTTGATGGCATATCACCTCGACCAGATGTTGATTCCCAATCTGTATACAAAATATATTTAGATAATAAAAATATATATTATAACTTTATATACTTAAAGTCTTTCCTACTTTACTATGTTTTATAATATATATAGTACATAGATGTTTAACAGTTGACATATTTACACAAATAATACCCATATAAGTATATATAATTACTTATAATTGAGGCTACTATCAATAAAGCGTACAGAATACCCTAATAATAAAATAATAATATGCAACACTTAGAATCCCAAGACAATAAATAACATCATCATTTTTTCGAAGTATATAGTATTATATACAAATTTATAAACTATCCTAACTATCAAAATAAACTAAAATATCATACAATCTGAGGATTTTAAATCAGTATTCGAATAATAAAACTTAAAATTTTCCATTTAATTTGAATTGCAGTAACAAAATTTATTCGTACCCCTTGATAATCAAAATGTAAATATTAAAAAGGATACGAGTGCGCAGTTCACCCTTTTCATGATATAAATATTTATCATGAATTTTTGTTTGTGAAAACAGTTGTTTTGTCATTTAAAGTAGATCTGCAGAAACATTGTATAGGCATATTGAGTGCAACTGTATTGACTAGCGAATTTGCACCAATCACCTCTATGTCATTGTTGCGAACAATATCGAATATGTATTCATGCTAATTTTATACCAAAACGTTACCGGGACGCGGACTGAGATGACAATTGCCAATGCATGTGACTTTTGTTACCTACCTATTTTAGTAAAATATTATTTGATGCTCGATTAATTCAAAAACTTGTCACAGTTAAGAAAATTTAATTCTTTGACTTTTATATAATATACTAAGGCCAAGTATATATATATATATATATATATATATATATATGTACATTTGTACTTATATACTCATGGATTTTGATTTCTATATAATATATAAAGCGATAATTTTAATACTTTAAACTGTACAAAATTTAGATAAATATATAAGTCGTTACTACCCAGGTTAGGCTACTTGTCATATTAAATCTATGTGCTACAACTTACACTACAATTTTGTATAATACATTTATAACCCATGAGACTTAATATAGAATGCCTTAGACTATTCCATAAAGCATATCAAGTGGATCTAAGTATTTAATAAAATATGATACAGTGTTCAAACCTCTATTGCCTTAAGCTCTAATTTATTACAGCCAAATAGATAAATAAAAATTAAATACTTGCCTCCGGAGGGTTGTTCCGTTCAGGCGCCCGGTAATCCCTTTGGAATAATCCACGGCTCATTGCAAAAGTCTTAGGCGGCCTTGGAGGCACGGGAGGACCTGCAGTAACAAAATAAAAAGTCAACTCAGTGTAAAATATATTTTTAATTACATAATTTTTATTAATTCAAAGAGGTCATATTAAAAGAAAGGTTTTAATTCATTTCAACAATACTTGAATTTTTTTTTTAATCTTTGTAAACAGTTTGAAAATAGAACGTACCGTGATGATATCCGCCGTACTTGATGGGTCGAGGCGCAGATTTGGTGAATGTTCTTGCAGGCACAAAATTGACTGAAAACATGCAACACATACAACTAAGACACAGGAAAAAAAATTATATTTAAGAAATGCAAGATAATCGACTACAACTACATTTATGACCGTGTCAAAGACAATCGTCAATTATTAATGCAGTCAAGATTAGTGAGTTGTCGGAGCTTGAATTCAAGTCCTCTTCCCGGCAATTTTTAATAAGGAAATGATGGAAAAAACAAATAGATTAAATTAGGAAAGGCATGAAAAGGAAAGGGAAATAAAATAATGCGTCTGATATAATTAATCATATAATTAGCTCATGTCTAATAACTGTTATTAATTGTTAGGTGTAATAGATGTGCGCTAGCTTTTTTATTATTTGCTGCGGTTAAAAAAAATAAAAATAAAAGTTCAGGACATACTTATATTAGATTGACTAGCATTTAAAGATTTGCAGTCTTCATCGCTGAGATTGGAGTCATTTTCTGAAAACTCTGCAGTGTTGGACCTGATATGTGGCTGACTCAAGTACATCTGATTAGTCTTACTTGGAACGTTTTCGTGGCTCCTTCTTGTCCTTATAAGAATGTCCTTAGTATCAAAAGTGAACGTCCTCTTGTTATCCTGAAAGACAATATTTTTATCTGTCATATTAGTAATTTAAGTATTGCAAAATATTTATATGTTTGATCTCATCATTCCTATTTCTAGGTATTTTTTATCTTTAAATCTGTATAGCAGTTATTTGTGTTACTGTTTATTAGTAAATTAATATATATTTAATTTCCAATTAAAACTTTTTAAGTCAGAACATTTTTGACATGTTGATAAAATTTTAATAATATAATTATTTCATTAAAAATAATAACAACGTTACCTGTGTGCGAACTCCAGTAATGCACTCAGAAATTGGTATATAAGGACCAATGGTGTCAGCATTTCTTGTGGTCATTTCAAAAGCCTCTCTATAGGGCTCTGAAAAATATATGCAATTTTAATTACTTAATTCTCATTACAAAAAAAAATATTAACTTTATAACTTTAATAAGCAGAGATCCTTTAACATATTTACAGGAAGTGGTAAATGTTTCAAAGGTATCTCTGGAAGGTAAAGGTGAAGATAAATGTAGATAAGACTAAAATTGTATTATTATATTTTAAGAGATAAAAGTACTACACTAATTTAAATAGACAGACATTAAAAAAGTACAATAGATGGATAATTTATAATACTTTATTTGGTATGCATGTTTAGTAGGGGTGGCATCTAAGCAAAATTTTACCAAGATCCATTGAGCAGTTCTAACAAACGTCCATCCATCCATTCATACACACATCTAAACATTCGCATTTATAAGAAGTAAGGTACTAAATATTACTTGTGAGATAAGATGAGATATATGTTTTCATTCGGTGGCCAAATCTATTTTTTAATATTGATATGGTCACTATAAGAAGTAAGATAAGCTAACTATGTAACTTAAGATGGTACCTTATCTCACATTTTTTGAAAAACTGAGTTACGAGACTGCTTTTTGGACAAGTTTTGTTTTTTATGGCATTTAAGTTACAAGATTTGTACAAGCTATGTACAGGATGATCCTTAATGAACGGATCAAAAACTTTGTGGAGGTAAAGGACTTCAATATGAAAACCTCATTTAAGCCCAAAGTATGTTCCGCAATTTTTTAAATTAACTGTTTTTCATAGAATGACAGACTACTATGTTTGTTATTGCATCTCAGTTTAAACGGGCTACAATGACATTTCTTTTTTTTATGTGTGGGTATTATGAGAATGAATTACGTGAATGTCTTGAATGACGCTCGATTTGCCACTCGTCTGGTTGTGCCGCCCACGTGCGGCGTACACTTTGCACGCTCGCTTGCGGCGACTCTGGATGGCAGGCATGTGAAAGACACAAAGCGAAGAGTGAATGCAGGAAATAGGATGAACGCAGCTTTATTGGTATGTTAGTATATAGTAAAAATGTGGCGATGAAGGAACATCTGGCAATTCATAATGAGGTATAAGTTCCCCGATTGATGTATGGTGAAAGTTGGATTAGGCAATATAAGCGAGTAAAATGAATGGAGAGGCAATGCGATCTTTGAGAAGCATGGTAAGAGTGACTGTAAATGATAGGGTTAGGAATAGTACTACATGGGAAAATTGTGGTATAAAAGAATATTAAGAGTACAGTTGAAAAAGGTATGCTTAAATGATTTAGACACAATAATAGGAGTAATGAAAGGAAATTAAAAAACGAAACTTATGGCGTGAAAGTGAGCGCTGTCCCAAACGAAATTATACCGTCCAGATTGATGAAATACTTAAAAACAGCGGTATTAAGAGCATCCGAAACCGACGTGCATGTTTGCGTGTATGTTTAAATGTATAAGATGTGAGAGAGGTGTGCGTCCCGGAGGCCTAATTTAGTCCCATTTCCCTTCCTACCCTTTTTCTTATAAGGAAAGGATGGGAAGTGGAAGTGGACTTTCCGGATGAAGGATGCATGGAAAGGGAAAATATTTTCTTTCTGTGCATCCTCTCCTCCGTCGATTAAAGGTAGGCAACGCATATGCAATTGCGTATATCTATGGGCAACGGTCACTTCGCTATTTCATCGATTTCAAGTGGCCGCTCGCTCGTTTGCCACCTTATGATATAAAAAAGAGGTTTTTCAGGACCGCGCCAAAGGAAGGTCCGTGGAGTCCTCCTACCCCTATGGGTTACGGACGTGAGTTATGTTGTTGTTTGCAAAAACTCTCCATAGATAACAAAATAACAACCCAACGAAACATGTTTGACAAATTTCTTTGATAAAAGAATTAAAAAAAACGTTTTTTATTTTTTAAATTTTACTAATATTATAAATGTTTAGATGGTTTTATGTTTGATAGGAGATACCTCCGGAACGGGTTTTTAGGGTTCCGTACCTCATAAAAAAACGGAACCCTTATAGGACCACTTTGTTGTCCGTCCGTCTGCCTGTCAAGAAGTGGGCAACGAGCGGCGGGAACACCGAGGCGTACAACGACACCCATGGACATATGCAACACCAGAGGAACTGCAGATGCGTTCCCAGGCTTTAAGGAAATGAAATGACGGCTCAAGGGATTTTGATGAAATTTAGCACAGTTATTTCCTTTTCTAAAACGGTAGCAGAGTTAGGAAATAATTTTTTGTTTTACAGACTTTTTTAACAGCAAGATTTGAGTTTATATCGATGGTTAAATAATGGTTACTTTGAAAGCAACTATACAATGGTAACTTTGAAAGATACAATCAATGCAGAGACTCAGTTGCAGTGATTGTATCTGTTCTGTTCACTTGACTCCGACCTCACTATGAATAAACGCCCCTAGAATACTATCCGACCTATGTATGGTCACGTGTTATTCCTCTTTAGAATCGTCATCAAATGCGCCAACTTCTATGATACGTAGTCCCTTTTCGGTAGAATATTTTTCTTTTCACAGTGGGATCCGAACGTAAAGAAATCTTTCGTGAAAATTAACAATCGTAAAATGCAAATATTTATCAAGCGATTCTTACAAAACCAATAATAAAATGGCAAGTCGCCGGCGATTATTTGAGTTATAAAAAAAATTATACAGAATGTCCACTATTCCGAATTTTAACATCTACCAAAATTATTTAGGGGATGGACGTAAATGGTAACCGTAATACAATTTTTTACAGGGAACTACCTCACCAAATCTCCATTTCCATTTAATCCAAATTTCTGGACAACTATCAACAAGCTAATAGGAGGAATTAAATAATTCCTTAATGCTTGAAAACATTCTAGACAAAACATATAAAAATTACTATATTACACTTATAAATGTGTAATACAACTAGCCAGTTACATCCACATTCTTATAATTTCTTGGAAAGTCACCGAACAACGACTAAAGAATTTCTTACTTAAAATACTTGTAATTTTCACATTTTGCTTTAACGTTATAGATTTATTAATATGTAGTAAAAGTTGTGGATGTTATAGTTTAAAAAAATGTCAGCAAATAATAGCTGTGTTTTATCTATAAAGGTTGCCGCTACCATACTTCCTGGAATGTTGGACATATGATATCCTACTATAAAATTGCATTAAATGTTAATCTTCTTATACATACAAGTAAACTCACAATTTATATTTTTATGTGTAATTCCTACACCAAAGGACAAATTAATAAGAAACATTGGCAGAATGACCCAAACATCCCGGAGAAGGGAAAAGGTAAAAATTTAAGATATAATAAAAAAAAATGTTTTTATTCCAACATTTAACATGAAACTTTATTAAATGTTTTTTGAATTAAATATTAAATCAAAAGTGGGGTTCAATTAAAAAATAAAATGTTTTCAATGTATGGGAAATTTTAATTATTAATAAAAATATTTTCCATAAAAATTATGTAGGAAAGCATAAAATACCTTTTTAAATTTATTCCTAAAGTTCAAAATTAGGGGATAAAATATTTGCATGGAAAATATTTCTCTGTAATTTAAAAAAATATCCTTTAAGATCTAAAATGATCATAAAATTTTGTTAATAACCTAAAAATTCAATAGCTAAACAATTTATAAATTGACAAATACTTTTAAATACTAACCATTTTACCCCAAAGAAATATAGTTAGACACTGTTTAGTTTTAGCCCACATTACTTTCGGTATGAGTATTATTTATTGTTCAAAAATTTATTTTCCAAGCCAATGTATAATGTTTTCAACAGCCATGATTTGTAAAAAAATCCGCACCGGGTGTTATAGTCACAATATAAAAAAAGATCACGTATGTTTAAGGTAAACTGTATTTGAAACGTTGTCTAATTTTTTTATAGTAAGGCCCTAAATCTTTTCAATAAATAGAGAACTATCTATTTTTCGAAAAAAAAAACAACACCATAAATGCAGAAACCACGGACCTCCATTTGGAAAAACTAAAATAATATTTCGTAATTAATACTTCACAGAGAAAAATTTAAGTAGCAAAGTAGTCAGACACTATTCAAAATATTTTTATTAAATTTATAAATTTTTTAAAATAAAATTACATGAAGTATGAATTCCGAAAATTTATTTTATTTAAAATAAATTATATTTTATTTATTATCTTAAAATTATAAACACTTACCAGAATCATTTGATGCATTGTCTTTGGGCTGCAGGCCGCAAACGCTGCAGATAGCATCAACCCACTTGACCATGTCTGCTTCACAGTCCGCCTCTAAGTGATATGTGCGAGACTGCGTCTGAATTGTAAACACGGAGCCTCGAAGTTTCGGATCTAGAGTCACGTTGTTACTGCGTTCCATATGCAACCCAGCATCCACCTATCACAAGCGAGCTTGGGTTATGCTAATGATATGAATAATGAACGAGATCAACCCTTCTCAAAATTCAGAAATAAATTTTCCAATATCAGTATTGCTCAATGCCATTTCGCACAAACAAGTCTGATTTAATAAAAACTTAAGTATCCAAGTGACAAAACTTTGATTTTAAAAGACATTGGTTAGCTATCATTCACATAATGTTTTTTATTAAACAAGCAAAAATAACTAAACAAATGAAAATAATAAATTAATTTACATTATGTTTTTTTATGTAATCGAATTACATATCTAATAAGTCCTAAATTATTTTATTTAGCATTAAAAATTAGTTTTATTTTTTTATTTATTTACTTGTAATTATTTAAATAATTTTTAGACGTACCTGTTCACACAGGTCTAAATTGATCGTCCCCTTTAGCCGTCTACAGTTCCGATCGGCATAGTAGTCGAGGAAATACTGACCCGGGAGTTCGCCCGATTGACGCAAGGCAAACCACCTTCTTCGCCATTTCTAATAACAAATACTTATTTTAAATACAGACGTCGATATACATAAAGTAAGCAAATAAAACACTGCAGAGAACTCAACCTGGTGCTGTAGATTTCTTCCTAAATATTTGGTAAACATTCTAATCAACCAAGGAAAGTGCAAGTTGTCAATAAATAAAGAAATTTGACGGTCAAAAATTTCTTACCGTTCTCCAGATTCGTTTTGTGGGGGGTGATTTAGTCAACCAACCCTCAAACACAATGTTTTTCGACATTTTTACATTAAAAGCCTATCCTATTAAATGAGTCACAAAATATTTTTTTATGTAAACCAATGATAAACCATACTTCACTTCAAACTTCATAGGAAACGTCGATCAAATCGCTTTGCTTTTACTTGCCATAGATAACAAAATTGTTTTTTTACTATACAGATTATGAAAATTATTGGCCTTAAGTTGACATTTTATTTTATATATATTTTGTATTTTTTACACTTGTTTGTTAGTTGTTTGCATTGGTTTACATCTGAAGCAAAGCAGTTTGTTTAATAATGCAAATTAAAAAAAAAGTAAACTGACAGCCGAAACGGCGTAATTCTGTCAAAAAATATGTAAAACCTTCATGGGCATAGAAAATGATGTAAGTGAAAAGTACGAAAAGAACTTTGTGACAGTAAAGTGACGTTGACACGGGGGCGCTAGGGAGCTGTCATAAATCAGGTTGACTTTTGCCTACCGAGTTATAGACATGACAAAATACTTTTAAAACTACAGCCTCCAGGAGGTCAGTGATGGAGCATGAAATTATAATGAACGAACACTTGGACACTTATAACCTCCTTGATCGATAACTTATATTTTCTTATGTTGTCTCAACTCACATGGTAACATTGGATCATTGTCAAACTGTTGTGATTACATTCGTTAAACTCAAAATATTTTTGTCCCTTCAAAATCTCGTTTATTTATTGGTATAGTTTAGGTACTTATTAAATATTCATACGGAAATTAAATTGTCATGACTCATATAAACCAAATGTTTAGAAAAATAGCGAAATTCAAAATTGTAATAAACATGCCTTCTTAAATTTTTTATTCTCAGATTATTTATAATTTTTATGAATATAAATCTATTGACATGGAGAATACTCATCCAAGCGAGCCTCCTAGCAATGTTCACAAATTTAGTGGATATCATCCGGACAAGTAAGCTGGATTCAAATCTGTCACGTTCACGTCTTTTAACCGTTGGTAAAGATTAATACGTCTGTTTTGAAAACTTTCTTCTCACTACTTTAAAGAACTTCAACTAGTGAGATATAATATGAAATGTGTAATCTGTAGAGTGTAATGGATACTAATCCTTTTCTAACACCGCATGTCCCGGACCATTTTTAAGTATATTCAAGACACTGTTACCGTTGCAGATATGATCTTAGCGGAATTTCCTTAACGGTTCGCACAGACGAAAGTTTGACTCCGCAGAGACCACCATGCCTTACACAAAGAACCGTAGGAATGTATCTTCGGCCGCTGACAAGAGAGCTCGATGAAGTGGCACCGAAGTTGTTATAACAATATATTACTCAGTTTCTGTTATAAATACACGTATTCTGTTGTTAATCATATTTATTGTAACAGACTTTTTGTGAATCAAATATTAATAATGGTAATTTCACCTCAATATTTTTAACAGGCCTTATATTGACGATTTATCGAATATAGTAATCGATAAAATGCTGCAGAAGGATAAAGCTTTTTGGGTTGATAAGCCAGGTGCGAATGCTTACACACTCCACGATGCCTATTACAATTACGAAATGATGACCGAAAGGATCAAACCACGTACGTTTTTAACAATTCTTGAACCTCAAGCATCAATCAGTTTAAATCGCTGCATAAACTGCTCCTGCTCCAAATGTACACGAATGCAAACGCTAAGCCGAAACCGAACTAAACTAAAAGCATCTGTATCACGATTTATGTTCTCGATAAACTCTGATACTACTGAACCAATTATCAAAGCATCTGTAATTTGATCCAAATTGGGAGTTAGGGTAGTTTTAATCTTAATCATTGATATTTCCTCGCGGAAGGTCTCGCGGGCGAAGGTTAGTTATTATTTTACGACCAAGACTTAGACAAAGTATTCCATTCTAAACTTAGTCTGGAACCTAGATGTGATAGTTTGCATTATATTGTTTTTATTACAGATCATCAGGACGTTTTTCCTCGTGCTTACAGTTATGATCTCGATTGCGTGAAGTATCGGCGCCTCCACGCTTGTGACGGCTTGAAATCAAGTGATCAAGACGCGGTTAATAAAATCTACCATTTTTTATACGAACTTAGTGGATACTTTAATAGTATTGACCTTTGAGAGCCAGGATATATCAAAGGCGCGCTTTGACCAAAGTCAAAGTGTATTCATACTTCCCTCTTCCGTCTTTTAGGTGCATTTTGCATAATTGTTTCGAGCTTGATTCTATTTTTTTTTAGGTTTGGTATACAAATGGTTCGTATTAATAATTCGATTGTGTTACTATGTTTTATTTTAATAATTACATACAGAAACCGATCGCCGCATATTGTCGGGACTGCAAGGGTGGTGAAACAAAAAGAACACAATCTGGCGTTGACAACGACGATACATCTTTAGGCAGATGGAGACAATACCCAAACCTAAACACCAAGTTACCTCCCGAAACAATTCGAGAATTAATGGATGAGTACGGTCTTAATCAATAACTTACTAATACGAAATACCACGGCCACTATAATTGATATAGGAAAAATTTTTTTTTTCAAGAAAATAAGATGTGAAAGATTAGGATGAAACTTCGGCAGAGTGATTTGCTAACGACAAAAAGGGTTTCTGTCATAAACGTTATTTTGTACGTATTTTGTATGGCATCCTTTGCTCTTAACAAAACAATAACGAAAATAAGAAGTATTGAAACCCTTGACTAAAAGATTGTAAAAGTTGGCAAATTACTTTAAGTTCGATTGAATTAACTTTGCATACTTTTCAGAGTCGGTAGACCGTTCAAACACGAAGCTTGCAACTGGTACTATAGAAAATACCCAACCAGAAAATTTGAAGGAATTCTACGAAGATTTTCAAAATGAATCAATTGTTACAGTAATCAGTCCTATTTTACTAATTTTTTGTCAATAAATCTGTTATGAACTCTAACATAATAAACTCATTATAAAAGTAGCTCTATATTTGTTTTGCTACTAAATTATATTTATGGAATTATTCCTTGAAGAAAAGTGCTGCTACTATCGTATTTGCTATTATACAAACTTATCTAAGTACACGTGAATAGAATATTGCTACCAGTAAAATGGCGTGCGATCTTCTTCCATTTTGCTTCAATATAATTTTCGAGTAATCTTCAGTTGTGAGTATGACTTTCACTACGAGTTTAGAAAAAATGAATGCTTTTGTCTGACATACAATTCAAGGTATCCTGATTATTATTTTATCGGACACCTAATCTGAGATTTTTATGTATTTGTATTTTCTGATAGAAGTAAACGCGATATCAACGCCACTCTCACCGGGGCCAGAAAGTTTCTATATGCTTTGACTTCGTAAAAAAAAATTGCGTCAAAAAAACTAGCGTCAACCTTGCGTCAATTCTTCTTTTGTTAAAAACTATTTCTATCAAAATTTTAAGTATGCTTGTAAAATCTTAAAAAAATAATTATAATAAACTTCCCATCCCCTATATAAGATGGCACAAAAAGACGATAGCCTCTTCCTCCTTGAGGTGTTGATAGACAAAATTGTATTATCAAAAGTTCCATGTTTCACCGATAAGGATTTTAGAACTTGTGTAAGCATCGAGTGCCCATCGGTGGAGACTCTCGAAATTTGCGATGATGAGACAGGGACTAATGTGGCGAGAAGTGACGGACCCTTTGTGAAAACTTTCAACAGCGGAAAATCATGTCTGTTCTCTCTTAAAGAAGATCAAATCAGTAAAGCAATGTCTAAATTTCCGATTAATGTATCAGTTTTTCAATCTCTGCCTTGCGGTTGTTTACCTTCTAAAGTTGTAATAGGAGAATGTGTCATTGATATGACCAAAGAATTTGTTGAATCTCGTAATAAATATCTAGAAGATCCCAATAACGTTAGTTACCAAGCTTTGAAGGACTCGTTTAAGATAGTCAGCAAAGATCAGGGTGAAGCAGGAGAAATCATTATGTTTTTACGGATATCTTGTTTTGGGAAATTAATTGTGACAAAGTTCCAAGGCACAGGTGCAACAAACGCTAAATCAAGTGGAGCATCAGCTTCAGTAGATCGTTCATGTCTGCCTCAAAGAGAATATCAGTCCGCTCAAGATCCTTGTGTTTGCGGAACTAAAAGATATCTAGGAGGTGGAAGTGGACCTTCTTGTACTGTAAGCGGGGCGGCAACCGGCGGTGTATGTCCACCAGGTAATGATTTTAGTAATAAATAAATAAATAACTTTGAAAAAGCATTTAACGTATTATTAAAAAAACAATATGTTACAGCGCGGGACCCGTTCAATAGTATGCCGTGTGAAGAACCTGACGACCCTTGCTTCTGTACCGGGCCAAAAGAACCAGCAAAGCAAAAAATGATTTGTAGAAACACCGACCAATATTGTTTACACGTACCTAAAGGTAAGACCACATTTTTGTAAACTTGAAGAAATGCGCTTAATTTTCCTTAGCTTCGTGTGAAATATCTTTATGCAACTATCTAAAGTGTACTCCTAGTTGCCTTAGTTAAAATTTCTTGGTGACCAGGTCGCAGTAAACAATTTGAAGAAATCGGAACTAATTTGGGTGGTAATGAACTAAAAATTAAAGTGCCCGCTACCTCTGCTATTATAAAGAAGATAAGTCAGACACATTGCTCAATGCAAAGCCCGTATACTGAAAATAAAAATGAAGGTCCATGCCAAGCTCCATGTGGAAAGAATCAGATCAGTTTAACTATGCCTAGTGAAGCGATATGTTGTAACGGGGCTCAACCCGCTAATACACAATTTACTTGTACTACTGAAGGTTGTGTCCAGGCCTCTAAACATGGCCAGGCTGCATTAGCACGTGGTGATACCAAACAACCAAACGTATTAACAAGCCAAAATAAGAACACATTTGTTTTAAAAGTGGCCAAAACAGCTAATTTAGGAGACAGGAAATGCAAACTGGAGTTTGAACTAGTAACACCCAAAGGACTCGACAAAAAACCACCAGTATTGAAAGCAAATGCTCGAATACAATCCGATCCAGACTGCGACTGTTGTATAGGTCGATTAAAAAAGACTAAAGGAAAAAAGAAGCAAACTTAGAAAGTATTCTAAAATGTATTACTGTTATTAACTGAAAGCAATTTGTTTTAATTGAATATTTTAGGTTATTTAAATCTGGTTGTCTGTCTGTTATCGTCTTTGTGCCTCTATTACTGTAACATTGTCAGTTATTAAATTGTGCAGATTGCTGCCCTCCGGGTAACAAGATAGTTTTCCAATTGCCAATGGATTCCTGCAGCACGGGACACAAACAACGAGCTCACTTCAACTTCACATCAGATGGTGTCGGGGATATCGCTAGGGAAGAACCAGGACAATTAGTACCTCAAACTTCACCAGATTACCATGGAGTTGTCTACGATTTCCCTAGCCAAGTGATTAAGATGCGTGTCGCCAAAATTGTAGAAATGCCGGGACGTAAATCAAAATTAGAATATCAATTTGTAACACCTATAGTAAATCAGGAAACTGTAATACCTGTGAACGATACTCGCACCACCCAGTGCGTCCCGCGCACATGTCCTGGATGTTGTAACACTAGGTGTACTTAGACAATTTATGTATCGTTTACTTGTGTATCCGTGCATACAATAAAAAGATTTTAAAATGTTACTGATGTTTTTGATTGTAACAACACTCTGTAACTCTAGATTTACGTCTATGGTATATAATACTAATAATTGTTCTTGCTTCTTTAATGTAACACTCATTTCTATCCATAAATTTAGTTCTTAATAATTTACAATAAATTAATATGTTATTATGTAAAAATGCAAAATAAACACTCAGTTCAAAAACAATTTTCTGCTTTTCTCCGCTCATGAATTAAAATATCTTATTAAATATTTGATTCTATAAAATTAAGTTTTATAGGAATAATACGATAATAAGATACCATGAAAGGGAAACATTCACCGTAAATTAAAATCTCGTCTCAGGTACTTCGCTGCATGAGCCGTATGGTGAAGAAAACATAGGGATAGATAACCGTAATCTTCGAAGCAAAATAGAACTAGCAGTTCTAAACTTGTATAAAAATAGTATGAAGACGGATCAAAAATGTGAAGACACATCGAATAGTGAAAGTTCCCAATGGCTGACGGATACAAGTATCACGGAGGAAATGAAAAAATCAAATACAGGTACAGCTGATTTATTTTCGAATAGTTCCATCTGTACTGTGAGCGCAATAAGATCAAAAAATAGAAGTGTTTCTTTTGCTAAAACCGTTGACTATTTCTGGAACTCACAAAACCAAACCATACACTTGACTGCTAAAAATTCTAACATGCTCAATGAGAAAGAGAATGTTTTATTCGGAAAAAAAGAAACGACGGTCTATATGACTTTGTTTGAAGATTACTCTCGTCAACAAACTACTGGGACGCAAGCTACAGGTTCCATTAATAAGTGCCTACAATTCAACAGCAGCAAAATAATTCCTACAATTAACTGCTCAAATAACAGCGATAAACGTTCCAGTACGAATTTATTATACCTTAACGACAAAAATGCTGTTCCAAGTCATTTCCGAAACCAAAGCATATATTTCTTTGGTAAGAAAAAAGATGGAGTTAAATTAAATAAGGGGATGGGAAGTCAAGATTCAGTGAAAAAAGGTCAACATAAGTGCACGCCGACAGCTGTTTCGACACAAGCCTGTGCTTCTAAAAGCTGCGTATCGATGCAAACAAATAAAGTTAAAGAAAATAATTCAGCCACAGGTCCGAAATCAGTTACAATTAAATCGAATTGCCTAAAACCGTGTCCAGCACTCGGTACTGTAAAGGGTGAAATGATGGCTACTGTATCTCACATCAAAATAGCACCAACGCAGCCATGCCCTGTACATGGGAAAGATCCGTGTCAAGGTCCTAGTTGTATTGCTGCTACAACACAAGAAGAACAAGGTCCAGTAAAAGTATCTACAGTAAACAATCCACGCCGCGGGGTATTCGAATTGGTGATTCGTAAAATGACTGGCGCACCGCTGGCGAGAAATGAATTGATGTTAGAATGGACACCTCCACCGTGCCGGACACCATCTTGTCTCGGATCACAGCACAAACCATCATCGTGCCGACAGTCAAAATATAAAATTGTATCTTGTAAACCATCATCGTGTAGACCGAAACGTACCAATAAAATTTACAAACGTCCTTGCAGTCCAACACCTGTTCCGATATGCCCAGGATTACCTTGCAAGAGATGTTGTAGGACATCGTGTTGCGGAAAGTCGTGTCGCTCCATTCCGACTTGTCTACCAGTAATAACCTGCTCACCAGATCCATCTCCATGTGTAAGCCCATGTCCACCTTCGCCTCTATGCAAAAATCCTTGCAGGTCTCCATGCAGTTCCCCCTGTTTACGACCGTGTCCCGTAGGTCGTAAGCGTCCAAAGCGTGCCCGAAGTCACCCCCGAATTAAAGCACACCCTAAACGTATTTCACCATGTCTTAACAAGACCAAAGTCTGCCCAGTACTGCGCTGCCAAAGTATATTGATGCCTTGCGTTAGATGCTGTAATGTAGTAGCCTGCTACCCGCGTAGAATTTGCTCATTAACACCATGCAAACCTTTGATGACCTGCAGAAGCGACTGTTCTATTAAATGCGAAGAATAATCATTAAATACAGATCACCTAACTGAATATAATTTGAATTTTGTTAATAATAATAACAGAAACTGAAATTTAAAAAATCTCATTAACTTTAAAGTCAATAAAAACAATGATAGCTCTATTTTTGTTTTAATGTGCGAGATAGATTTGAGTGTTTATTACAATAACTTTGTATAAATTTTGGTTTAGTAGGTAAATAATAACCTAAAAAACCAAAAAATCTATTGTAGCTGTACTTTGGTCTAGGGATAAAATTCATATTAAATATCAATTGATAAAGAAGTGAAGAGTAATTGGAAATTGATGTATGAAAGGACAAGGAAGAATGAGAGAGATCGATTTGGGGCAGGGAATTATTGCGCTGACCACACATACAGTGAGATAACGACAACAGATAATAAAAAAAAACAATATGGCTTCCATATGGCTATCAGTAAGTTATTATGAACAGAAAATATTCTATGAAACCATAACAATAGACAAATTTTAAGTTTTATATCTTCTGTTCTTAATCTTTGTAAACTTATAAAGAGTATAAAGTGTCATGCATTGGTTCCATGGTTCCCTTTGCTTCATGATTTGACAAATGTGTTTGACAATAAATTTTCTAAATCGTCAGTACTGTAAATATAAGCATTAATGGCAGCCAAACCCGAGCTGAAGGATGCGAAGGGAACTCAAATGAAGGGAAAGATCAAGTTTGAAAAAAAGCCTTGCCCTTGGTTATGTGACTTGGTGCCAGTGAATGTTCCTCCGCCAGGGCAGGCACAAGCTGTACTACATCCCAGAAAGGATGTTTTTGTTTTGAAGGTCTTTTAAAATATTTTGATATACCTAACATTTCACATTTACGTATTGTTTGTACTTCTAAGGTGCTTTAGGCACCTAATTCTTATAATTGCTAAGAAACAGAGACCGTTTCGTATTCCCGACTTTAATAGTTTTTTACTACAAGGGCGTACTAAATCGTCTTAACAATGCGCAGATACTAAAATAAAATGGAAAACAATTATGTAAATCTAAAAAATATACGTATATATTTCTAGGTAGCTAAAGTTGGAGCAAACGGTGACCGGCGTTGTAAATTGGAACTTGAATTGGTGACCCCTAAAGGAAGTCAAAAAAAAGCGCCCTGCCGAATTGAAACGCGGGAAACTCAGTGCGACCCTGAGTGCGAACCATGTGGTTGTATGAAAACAAACAAGAGAAAGAAATAAACTATTAGGAAACTACATTTTAAACCATTAACGCTTATCATATACCTATTGGGTTTAGAGAATTAAGTAAAAATTTGTTTCATATATCACACAAACAATATAGAAAACTAAATAAAATATCAAAAAATCACAAATATCATAATTTCAATGCATGTTCCTTTAATCATAGATGCAGCATATGGCTATGAAATACGTATGACCTATAACTAGAGACAAAAAATTTCCGAAAAAAAATCAACTTAAAATATATTAAAAAATGTTAAATAATCTTACAAAATATTTTATTTGTAGTTATAGTTGTAAGAGTGGGGCCACCCAATTACTGTTGTAAACCATACTTTACAGCACTTAATTTCTTTATAATGGACAATGACTATTAGTAAAGTAAGTACTTTCAGTAATCTACGATACTGTGAACATCTTTTCTGATACAATTACTTTTGTCACGTATGACGCATAGCCCCTGCGACATTACACGACTGAATAAACTTTGTATTAATAACTTGCATGTAGTCATCTGCATATATTATGAATCTTTTGCGCATGTTAGAAGAAAGCTCTTGTCGAATTAATTATGCGTAGACATATGCACAGCGAAGCGGACACGAGAATATTCTCGATATAAAAGATAATTGCTTTGATGATGATTTAAAAAAAAACTTATATTTACTTCGATATAAAATTAAGAAACAATTTGAAACAAAGAAATTGTGTACTAAACTAAAAAGAATCGCGACGTTGTCTAGATACAAAAAGCAACTTGTTTACCTGAAATGTTATAATTTTTTCTCACTTGTTATTCCTGAATAAATTTGTATCTTGAAAGCAGTCACCTGAGTTATAATGCGACGTGCATAGGCAAGGGCACCTTGACCTGACAATGACACGTCGCAATAAGAAAATAAATGTTCAATAACGTGCCCGGTCCCGACGGGAAAAACAAAGGGATGGGAATACAATCTCATTCGATTTATTGAAATAAAATTCAAATTGTTCTCTAAGTTCTAATACATTTATCAGATTATTGTAAAACTTTTAAAGTTTTGTATACACGTTGATTTCTTAATTGAAAAATGCCTATTTAATATAATTACATACTTAGTGTTCGCACATTAGTGGAAAATTCAACCATAATCCAATCAAAGAATATTTTATTTTTAATGATTGCTTTAAGCATTTCTTCCCCACATTAACTCTGTGTAAAATACGTTCATTCCTTCCAATAATTACTAAAATATCATTAATATAATTATATATTTTAACTTGTAATTTAAATCAGAGCTTAAACTACCAAACAGTCCTAATTATATCATCTTTAGATAGCTCTAATATTTTGTAAATAGGTGCAGTATATGTTGTTTGGACGAAGTGGTACATCACTAGAGCTGAAAATTTAAAGCAAGCATTGGCGTAGGTCATGGTTTATTTATGGAGAACAACGTGACCAATAAAAAAGAGATTTGTTATGCAACAGGATGTGCGCACTTCAGGTAAAGCGATACACATTTACATGAGACTGCAGTTTTTTAGCGACTCGCTACATCTATGAACACTAACTATAGTTTTCTATTGCCTAAACAATTTGTTATACTAAATGTGTAAATAAATATGGAGACGACAGTATGTTATCTACAGGTGTTCTGGAGTGAAAACACAGGGTCCCTTTGGGCCGAGCGGTCTACCAATGGATCGACCCAATGGGAAACTTACGGCAAGAGAATCAGTCTTTCCTCGTACTAGCGATACCAGCGTTTAAAAAATTACAGTTACAAAATATTATCGACATTGGTTTAGTAGTTTCGGAGTTTCGTATTTTGAACACAAGATTTTTATTAAGGTTAAAAAAGACTAAAAAAAGTCAATAGAATCTGATATGTTGGAATTGAGTGCCTGGTTACTATAATTACAATGCAGACGCGGATAGTTACATTTCCAGAAAGATCTATAATTTCAGTTGACTTGAGATAGATTAAGTATGCGCTTAGCCTTAACCGCTTAAAAAAGATTGAATATTAAACTACTTCAAACGCTCAGCTTTAATTTCGCAAACAGAGTTAGAAAAAGTACCAAAATAAAATAAAACGTAATTAGGTAAGGTGTGATTATGAACTTCTTAGTGATTTGCAAAAAAATAACGAAAATAAAAACATCGGTCTAGCTGGAAATAATTATAAGATATAAACAATAATATAGAAGAATAATTTCAGTAAATATTTTTTTATATTCCAGCATTATTGTAAAAGCAATGGTCAAAAAGTACAATAACATTTTTTTAATCAAATGATATGGCTTTCGCAACAAGCAATTTTTTACCTATACAACTAACTAAACAATTTCGCAAGAGTTTGAATAAAATATAAGTAAATTCGATCATGAATGTTTAACATCTTGGAAAGTTAGATAACAATAGATTTGTTCGATTGCAAATATCTGAAGCAATGATGTTGCTGTTTTTTCAATAATGTTTCTGTATCAGAAAGATATGACGACACTTTAAACGGTCTCGTTTAAATTGTGTATTACTTGACTCGGCTAAATATTTAGCAGTCTAAGTACTTAAGTACATTATTTTTTCACTTGCTTCGAAGAAAAATATGTTTAACTTGATGATTTATTTCCGTTACAAGTAACGGCGGCAACTTGTAAAATAAAGGTATTGATGAAAACAACTTTTTCAATGTATATATCAAAATTTTATAAACCAAAGCGCAACTGTTTAAAGTATAACAAAAATGCAATAATAATTATCTTACAGTTAACTAAATCAGTGCTTTCCGTGATGGAATCCCCAATGCTTGTGGCCCTCGTGTCCACCCTTCTTGCCGTGGTCGTCATGATGATGATGATGTTCCTCATGCCCTGAGTGACCCTTGTGGCCTTTATGATCTTCATCATGATGGTGCTTGTCGTGATGTCCGCCTTTGCCGTGGTGGTGCTCGTGATGGCCGGAGTGATGATGGCCACCTTTCTTGTGATGTCCGCCATGTTCGCCGTGGTGTCCGTGATGATGTCCGTGCTTGTGATGCTTGCCTCCCTTGTGATGGTCGTCGTAGAAGTGATGGTCCTTGTGGAATTCGTCTTTATGATACTTCTTGTGATATCCTTCGGTTTCTTCGCCTTTGTCGTGATGTTTCTTGTGATGATGTTTTCCTCCCTTATGATGATGTCCGTGCTCATGATGGTGACCATGATGTTCATCTTCATCCCAGTGTTTCTTATGCCCACCGCCATGCTCGTGATGATGTCCCGCATGATGATGCTTGTGATGATCGCCATGTTCACCTTTATGGTGATGGTGATGTCCTTTGTGCCCCTTTGTTTCCTTATGGCCATGTTCATGATGATGGTGGCCGTGGTGTTCCTTTCCACCGCCTTCCTCATGATGATGGCCATGCTTATGGCCAGTTGCTGCGACGGCTAGGTCACCTTCTTGCTGATCAGACTCATGTCCAGTACAGACAGTTAGCAAGCACCCCTGTAGGGCGAGCACGACCAGTATTCTCATCGTGGTCGACTTGTAAAACTTGATGATTGATGTTACGATTATGATTCTGTACTGATTGTAAATCGGATGTTGAGACCACTTTATACCCTACATTGTGACTGATTGCAGTTGGTGAAATTGGTCGACAAGGACATCTCGTCGCGTCGTGGCGAATGTAACGTCAATTGATTTTAACCATTGCACCATCGGGTAGAAAAAGAAAATTGATACTTTATATAATAAACTAACGATAATAAACTTTACATCCGTTGTGTTGGACTCTGAGAGGAGCAGGAAGTCGGAACGCGCTAATTTAATATCTATATTAGTGCCTGTTCACTCTTCACTTTAAGGCCCTCAAGTAATACTTGTACGGAAACACTGAGCCATGATAGCTACTAGACAAATTCTACTAAGTATTAAAATAGTTTTATGTTTTAAAAACACCTAATTTACCCCTACAGTAAACTTTATAACTATTTAAACATAAATCTTATCCTCCTACGAGTTTTATTTTACAATTGTATTTCTGCACTGCGAAATTGCACATTAAGTATTAATAAAATCGATTCAGACAGTCGACCTTTAAGGTTTGTTTCGCGTAGCCATTTTTTTATCCCAATTGAAACAAATAAGCCGGCATTACGTTGTTTGATTAATTTTCAATGTCAACATCACAAACATATATACGAGTACCTCCATAGGTTTTAAAGAAAAAACTTATTGCGGCTTTGGGCAGAGAAAACCTAATTAAAGCGTGGGTTTCTATAACCAATTCCCGATACATTTAACATTTAATATTTTTTTCAAAGCGAATGCGAAGCCAATTTTTTTTGTTCAGCTGTTTCCGCGGTGGTAATCATAAAAGTACATACTTAGTTATAATATTGTATTTCATCTGATTATGTATAAAAATAGAAAACCCGTGGCCATTTTTAATTACGAGAACGGATATGAAAAGCTTTTTTGTCGTTTTGATAAAACATATCAAATCAACAAGTTGTCATGAAGATGTTTGTCACTTAACCTGGAAGAATAAAATATTTTGATATTTATTCTGTAAAGTTAATGTCAAAATAATCAAAAATATTTCATTGTAAAATTATAGTGTCGTGTATCGTTTTATTAAAATTACATGTACAATTATAGTACTAATATTTATTTAAAGAATTGTGTTCGGAATGGAAAAACCTAAAGAAGCTAAAAAAATTCGAAAACCCTACGAAGAAATTGGTGCTATATTCAATGGAAATGAAGTACGTTTTAAAATTTATTTCATAACCTATACTTCACAGTACAATTAAAAACAGCATACATTACTTTTTTTTAAACTAAGAGTTGGGATGTAATCTCTCAAGTAATAAATCATGAATTTACCTTCTCACAATCGTGATGCTTCTTTTTTATGTTAAATAATATCCATATATTATATCTACCCGGACAATTCCGATCTAAATGTATTAATGTAAAGTACGGAACTAATCTACACTCTATACATATTGATAAAAATTGAGAGTATGTATGTAATTGATAGAAAAACCATTTTTTTTGTCTGTATGTCTCTGTGTAATCTCCAGAATAGCTGGACAGATTATGCCGGGACTTGGACGGGAAGGCAGCAGATGCACGCGAGCATATTATAGGCTACTTTTTTTTAACTCTGCTCTGACGAATTCGCGGTCGACCGTTACTTACTAATTTGAACCCAAAGTAAAGCACTAAAATTAAGGTAAACTAAAGGCTTATTAATAAATAAATAAATCTTCAACAAAAATAAAAAAAAAGATTTTCAAGACAAATTAATAATATGAAAAAAATAGCTAGGGAATGGCATAGCCAAGAGAACGAGTCTAAATTTTTAACCATCTTTGTACTTCATTATAGGATTGAAAGCCTAATAATGTTTTACTAATTAAAATCTAAACTATATTCCGGAAATACGATTTAGATAAGTAGTTATATTATATTGGATTAGCATATATTATTTTATTTAAATCCATAAAAAGTAACGAATTAAAATAATTTTATTTGAGTTATCCAGTATTAAGTTGGACATCAAACTAGTGAAAAAACAGCACCGCCGAGGATAAATGTTGTAGTACCAAAATAACTTAAAATCAAAGAACGAAAGACAAATCGTACGTCTCGTTATTTATTTCCTAACTAAAATTTGGTAAGGTTAAAAATCACAAATCATTTTTCACTAACTTATTTGGACTATTTTATAAGTTTTCTAGCAGAAATAATTCATAAACTTCACACTTTGGAATCCAAAAAGTTAAAACCGAACGCATAATATTTAAACACGATGAATTGCTAAATTATTTTGATAGGCGCTGTATAATAAATGTTGCATTTTAAAGTTACAATGCAAAATTGCAACAAAAGTTCACTAATTATATTTTACAAATAAAACAGTCCAAAAGTTAGTAAAAATATTTTTATAAAATAGAATACTTACATTGTACAACAATTCAAAACAATCTTCAGCGCCTAGGCGCCGCCAGCAGCCACGAAGCAAGATGAGCACCAGTCGACTAACACCCCTAGACACTTGTAGCACAAGACCGTTACCACATAATTAAGACGTTACACTGCGTCCGCCAAGGGAGGCGAGCATAAAATACGAGCGCACCAGTACGCAGGTTCACCCTTTCTAACAATAGAAATGTTGTCGCAATTTCTTACCCTATTTCTTTACTTGCGCCCACTCGATTTTAACATGGAAAATTACATTTGTTCGAGCAATCTGAGATTTATAGAATATTATAGATTTATTAGTGGGTGGATACAGACCATTCCCTCACGGTCCATAACTTTTTTCATTTTCACATCTAATTATATGTTAAAATTAATGAATTGAAAATAAACTTTCGATAATTTAATTTTAAGGTGTGCCCTGCTTAAAGTCGCGTATTCGAATCCGAATCGACCGTTGAACACGTGAGGCAGGAGAGAGAGGAAGGGTTTGGAAAAGTCACCAAGTATGACAAGGGGAGGGGGGATATAATGAGACATGACGTGTATATAACAACCTGAATAACCTTAATGTTTGTCTGTACACTTTTTTCATGATATTTTTCCAAATTTATATTCTATTCTATAATACCTTTATTTATAGATAATAGTTATTATAAAAAAAATTTATACTTTAAAAAAGCCTTTTTTGTGTACAATAATTAATTAATTAGTGTACGAAATTAGTTTCAGCTTAATATTTTTTCACGAGAAAATTCTAATCCACATCCCACATCTCCAGTTTCTTGTCCGCACCTTTAAGCAACATGCTATCGATGCTTTATTTTTTTATGCCCCTACTTATTTCATCAAACGGTCACGTGTACTCGAACACGTGACACAATTATTTGAGCTTCCAATCATCCTGATTATTTATACTTTTCGAGGTTTCGTTATTCCTTCTAATGATATGGGCTTTTGAAATACAATCTATGAAAATAAAACGTATCTGTCAGTCGACCATCCCAGGCAATCGATTTTTCCCGTTTGAAATTTGATTAAGTTGATGACGCACATGAAAATTAAAAACTTTTTATGTGAAATGTGATCATTAAAAATTTAAAAATAAATACATAGTTGATTATATATACGTATTAGTACTATTTACATTTTTATACAAACGTGTGTTTTTATTTGACATGAATTTATTTTTCTTTGTACAGTTTATATCAATAGACAGTCTATTGGATAGCTTGTAGTCGCAAATTCTTTTTCCATTGCCAAGGCTGTCTACTTGTTAAGCCGCAATTGGAAATAGACAATTACTTCAAACGAGCTCAATAATTTTGCATCGACTTTAATTGCAATTACTTTAATAAAATTAAATAACAAATACTAAAAAATCTAATTAACGTTCTCTGATGAGATTCACGATAAAATTTGTACTACACTAGCAGGTCGGTGAAACGTGGGTTCGAATCCCGCCCTTCAACCTACGGGCAGACCGCGTGATCGGTAATCCGTGTACTTAACCATTAACTTACTGTTGCTTAATATTATCCAAAAATCGTTCTCCACCGTTAAACACATTTAAAAATTGTAAAAGTTGTTATACAAATTTGCGGTTTGAAATTTTAGCTCGATTTAATTTATATTTCAGGTAAAAATAAGAGTGCCTAAAAGTACAACGAAACCCCCTAAACTTACATCATCCCAGTTAAAGCTGCAGCAGCACTGCACATGTGATGATGACCGTTCGGTCTGCTCCGAGACGTGTGGATTACCAGGACAGTCAGTGGGCGATGGTCGAGCAGCCAATCTTTTTAATATTCAGGTATTATTGTTATTATTAATATTAAAACAACAAAAATAATACAACTAACCCCCATTACCCAGAGTGGCAGGCACAGATTACAAAGCTAGATTTACGATGTCTTAGCACCGCTACAGCCCCAACATGGTAAAAAAGGGGCGTCGTAGAAGCGTAGAGGCACTTGTAGAGCTATAACTCGTACCGCATCTACGCATATAAGCTACGTTTTCGAGTGCTTTTGTCGTATATCTTAATTACGAGAACTCAGGATTACATATAAAATCTAATGTATACTTAATACATTTTTGTATATGTACCAAAATATATGTCTTTATACGGATATTTCGGCAGTGGTAACCCACTGTCACATTACTTAGTTCTGAATAAAATGATTCAACATAATGTCAATTAGTTTTTATCTTGCTAACACTAACGAATGTTTCGGAATTTTTAATAAAATAAAAGGCATTTTATTTTTGAACAGATATACATTCTATAAATGTCTGATCTGAGAGATGTTTTAAATACATTGGAGCAAGGTTTAATGAAATATATTTCATTTAAGTAATATATTTAATTTGTGAGTAGGCAGAAGAACCCTTTTCATTGTTATTGAAAGATAAATCTAAAATAAGATTTTACAAAAGCAAAACAAAATAATTACCTTAATAGAAAATCTAACAGAGTATATACGAGAGCTTTGTATAAATATAAAGAATAGACTGTTGATTGAAAGCCTTACCTTAACAGCACTTACGGCCGTCTCACATTACACATGTTTATCTAAACACGATGTTTTGTCACAATTATATAAAGAAAAGCTTTATTTCTATACATAGCATTTGAGTTTACACGATAATCGATATCTAACTAATGTTATAAATGAGAAATTTTGGGTGTATGTATATATATAGATGGATGGATAGATATTTGTTTAAAGTGTATCTCTAGAACGGCAGCATGGATCTCGCTGAAATTTGGCATAAATGTAGAACATGGCGTGGAAGAACATGTAGGCTACTAATTAAGTTTTTTGTTTTTAAAATTCCGCTCGGACGGGCGTCAGCTATTCTAATATATCTTATTATACTATGTGATATTTTTTTTAAATTTTCAATTCTAGAGTTTATATATAATAGATGATTACATGTTTGTTATTATTTTTTAAATCCGCGCAGACGGGGTTGCAGCTAGTAGCTATACTCATAAATCCAAAAAAGGCTGGTTTATTATTTCAAGTAAAAAACTGTTATCAAATCATTTTTGACAATTTCTTCAACATTAAAATACTTAGTTAATATATATATCTTTACAGATCCCTGATGATATCTGTGAGTCGCTCACTCATCGCACTGCAATGAATTCTGAGGTAGTATACAGTACCGCGGAAAAACACGACACTCTTTGCAACGTATGTAACGTGACACCTAAAGATGCTCCCAAAGGTGTGCAAGCGCAGAAGGTGCTCCATCCAGACAAAGATGTTTTCATCCTGCAGATCGGAAAACAAACTGATGAACCCAACCGAACTGGAAATATAGAGGTATAGAATTTTTATGTTACTAATAACCACTATGTTTCGTCTACGCCCCTAAATATTGGACTCTGGGACGCCATTCCTTTTGTTTTCATTTTATTTTTCGTAATTCGTCTTGAATATTATAAAAGTAATTATAGACGTTTCGTCTGCTCTGATTAATTTTTTGCTTGGTGTGGTGGTATGGCTACACAACGCAACTGTTTCGCGGTCCGTCCCAACAATAATAATCATAAATTAACTATTAAGGTATGAAATATAAGCAATTATTACCAAACTTTTAATTACCATTCTATCAAGTAGTAGCAGTGATATGGATCAAACAAAGCATATAAACGTCACGATTGAAACCGCGATACACGTTTAAGCATAGCCGATAAATATGGCAATAAGCGCGAATAGCCTAGTGGTAAATGATTCGGATATGCGATCACTTGGTTGTAGGTTCGAATCCAACAAGCACAAGTTTAAAGCTAGGTTGGAATTGTTAAAAATGTAATGAAATTAATAACAATTTACAAAATAAAACCTTTCTCAATGCGACGTCAAGGTTACAACGCACAGATTCTGGGAGAGGGTTCTGCTTTAATTTGAGCTGCCAATTCCCAGTTGTAGACAAGTCAACCATACTTTTTTACCCTTCAGACTTTTTGACTTCTCATGTTGTATTTTATATTATTCTTTAAGAGTAAGTTCAGAAACTTGTATTAATTCAAATCATTTTATTTACTATTGATACCGGAGCCATAAAATATAAATTAAATGAAAATATTTCAAAGGAATCCAACATAATAACAATTTAAATATGGCTTCGCATGAATCTTAAAATGGAGAAATTATCGCTTTGTCTGCTCTTTAATATTCTAAACATTTAAATTGTCTATATAATAAGACAATAAAAGTCGAACTAAGGTTACAAAAGGGTAATTAAATGCCATTGTGATGAAAATCTATATGGGTTGAGTGATATTTATTATTTGTGTATCAGGTCGAATTGATAACTCCTAGAGCGCCCGCGAAAATAAAACCGGCTACACACGCCTGTAAGCAGATACAATGCGAAGACGATGATATACCGTACTGCGTACCATGCAGGACTTGCAGAGTGCCCGCACCCAGGAAGAAAAGACGGCGTTCGAGATGTTGCAAAAAATAAATATATACATCGTGTTTCTATTTAAACAATTTCTTTATCGAAATATTTAAATGAAATTAAAATGTGCCAGTTTACATTTTTCCTTGAAAATGTTATTATCGGATAAAATTTGCTTTTGTTCTCTTTAAATTTAAGGTTATATATTTTACTAGAGTTATTCAACAAATTATTTGCTAAATATTTAGCCGGTGTATGTACTTCATAGATACGATTGTATAATATAATTGAAAGCCAGATCGAAATCGATACATTTGTCTCGCACGATTTTTATATTTCATATATAAAAAAAAATTGTATTACCTTATTCATTTATTAAAAAGTTTATTCACTCCACTTGTTTTTTTATTTAATGTTACAGTATGAGAAGTACGGATACACTTTAAATTAGTTTGTGATTTGAATATTGACCGGCGCATACTTCAAATACATTACTAACATGAAAATTGAGTACAAGATGATCAATTGACTGATAATAAAACATTCGCTGAGTAGCGGCAAGATCGTGATTAAGAAGCCAATGTATATTAGTTGACAGTATGTACCAATTTTACTAATATTATATATGCGAATGCAGTCTTTCCCAAAGTGGGCGATAACGCCCCCTTGTGGGCGCTGCAAGTTGCGGGTTATAGTAAAAGTTTCGTTTAGAATTCTCCGTTAATATACAAATATAGGCCACAATAATTAATTAATTTAATTTGAAGTTATAGTGGTTTTTAAATATGTGAAAATATGGGGGCGCTAAAGAAATATTTATTCTCAAAGTGGGCAGTAGACAAAATAACTTTGGGAACCACTGGTTTAGATGAATGGATTGATGTTTGTTTGAAGGTATCTCCAGAACGGCTGAACGGATCTCGATGAAATTTGGCATACATATAGAACATAGGATGAAGGAACATATAGGCTACTGATTAAGTTTTTTTAACACCGCGCGGGCGGATCCGCGAGCGTTAGCTAGTATGACCTATTTTACGGTATTGGTAGACCGAAAGGAGACAAAAACACTTTAATCCACATTCTTGGTATCCATATTTCATATATAATCAGTCGTATAAGCGTTATTGAAAAGCATGGTTCCACGGCAACAACCGCTGTGTCACGTGACAATTTTATTAAGAACTAGCTGTCGCCAGCGACTCCGTCCGCGTGGGATTAAAAATAGATGTTGGCCGATTCTAAGACCTACTCAATATGCTCACAAAATTTCATGAGAATCGGTCAAGCTGTTTCGGAGGAGTATGGGAACGAAAATTGTGACACGAGAATTTTATATATAAGACTTATCATTTCTCCCTTTGATTTAAGGTCGCGATATTTCACCCATTTTGACTTCCACGTTTTTTTTCTCATGCTTATAGCCCTCATTAAGAAATAATGAAAGAGACTCTGAATTGTTAAGATGTTTGGGGATGTCTGCCGAAGATTACAAGTACGAGGTAAAAGGCAAAAGGTATATCTTTGTATCAAAGTTACCTTTGATCGGTAACAAACACCCTATATACTTGAACCTACCTAATTGTTACCAGTCAAAAAGATTTCACATTGTTTTTTAGAATTCAATAAATTTATACAATTCTAGACTATTTTTAAAGCCAATAGCAAAAGTTAGCATGTAATCTATTCAGCTCGATCAACGGCATACGTTCGCTAAATATTTATGTGGAAAAACAGACACGTGTATTCTGCACAAAAGATTCAGAACAAAGACGGAAGGTGAAACTAAATGTATTCAATCGATAGGACATGTAAATTGGCTTATCCGTGATCTGTTTATGATTGTTATGAAGTAGAACATTCGTATATAATATTAGTGTCACATGGCGGTGACTTTTGAACTGTAAGTTATATATGATGCGTGTAACATAAAGACGTGTTATCATCTTTAAAGATCATCGGATCATATCACATTGCTCCGTGTCCGCGATATCATTCAACTACAATACTCGTGCGCTAAAGAAATAAATATAATTGCAAAGATACTATGTAAGTATTATATATTGTAGTAATTGCTACGAATAGCTTACAAAATAATCAAATGGTAATTTACAGGGTGATGTTTGCTTTGTGCTTTTTAAATATTTGATGTATACTTTTTGTAATCTAGTATGGTTGATACCAAATATTAATTACTATATCGTTGAAAGTTGATTAATTTATCTGACTGCTATTTCCAGAAATGCTTTTATTTCGTGAACGGTTAATTCTGATTGCTACCCCATGTACAAGATGTACAGTCGGGTCCGCTGGTGCTGTACGACTTAGACTCTTCATTCACAGGGTTAAGTTGTTACTTATGCGTCACTCAGTGAAAGAATGTGCAAGAATTTTTAAAGACTTAAAGATTAAAGAATGGAAATTCGTTTTTAGTATCCTAAACCAACTGGAAGCTTAAATTAAATTCTTTGGACGCAATGTCAGATATAAGTTACTTATAAAATTAACTTAAGATTATTTAACCAAAATAGTAGTTGTTTAAAGCTTGGTTTTTGTTCCTCTTCATGTTCAAAGCCTTAGTAATTGTAATAATATACAAAAATATATCTTTCAAAAGAGCTATAAATAACCATTTTATTTCAAATCATATTTAAGAAGGTACTGCGATTTTATATTTGTTATTTTATTTTCATATAACAATATTAAAGGTTAACGCGCGTCCGCCCACTCCTTATCCACCCGGCACCGCCCTGCCTAGCGATCGTTGTGACATACACTCGCCGGCGCCTAGACGTCGGCGATTGATCGGGTACACAGGTATACAGATATTAATTAATTCATAATATTATCCTACTTAATCCGTAACATAAGTATTCGAAAGTAATGTGAATAAAATGAGAGAAAGGCAAGAGAACAAAATGTCACCGACTCGTGAGTCTGTACAAAGCTCTATGAAATTGTATTGCGTAAGCAGCTTAGCGACTAAAATCGCTGGGTTTCGAAGATTTACGTTGTCTTGTACATGAATGACCTTATACAAACCCAAAATTTTGCATAGTGTTAATTACACTGTTCCTAGAACATTTTGATAGCTTTTATCGTACAAACACTTTTAAAAATGGTATTATATTGGTTATAAGACGTTCTAATGATTTTCAATTTAGTGGCACCACCAGCAAACGTCACTGTACATTTAATCTAGTATGATGAGTCATCATAAATGTGGTACCATTAGTTGTCAAGTTTTATTTTTTAAATAAAGGGTTTGGTATCCGATAGTAGCTAGTTGCTACCGTTCAATCCTTTGTTCTATTTTAGAGTATTACTTTACGAGGTATCATTAAATTGTATAGCAGAATAAGAGCGTTTATCGCCTCAGGCAACAAATGTCTGGGACCGTTTTGTAAAAACAAAGAAAGGGAAAATACTTTTTTCTTTACAGTAATTTAAAAATAGCATTCATTAAGTTAAAATCAAATTAAAGATTCTAAGTTAAGCAAGTTTTTTTTTGGATGAGATTAATTAATGAAGTTTCTTCTTTTTTTAGCTTTTGGGACGAACAAAACAAATGTTAACAGCAACATCCGTTTCCACTGCCCAAACACCTACAAAAAAAATTGAGACATGATCAAGAATAACTGTATGACAATGTTTGCGCTTGTGACATGACAAGCGTGTCAGAAGCTCAGTTGAACAAGATCATTGTCAATTCAAAAATAGTAGTACAGCGAACCTTTTTATGGTTGTTCCTTTCTTTAAATGTTTATAAAATTATTATTCGATGCGCTCGATAAGGGGGCGTTTATTAATGCAAGGTATTCATAACTCAACAACGCAGAATGGGACAAATTGACACGTTAGCAAATATCACGTCGGCATTGTAAGTGTTAATTAATTTTAGAAATCATCACACATAATATTTTTGGGTCGCGTGCTCTCTAAGAGAATTGAAAAGTGACTAATGACTTAATCACGACTAAAAGTATGTTATAAATTATTGAATTATTTTGCTGTATCAATATTTTCAATACTTTGGCCTAATATTAGTGGGAGCGTCAGCAAAATGATGCAATATGTTTGTGCACCGACTGTACCGTTAGCTTTCTCTACACGATTGTACTCAAATGAAGGTCGTCTGATGTAATAGACATTTGAGCTTACGCGAGGATATCCCTACAGAAGCTTGTTAGTGTACTGGTATTCATTTTTATATTTAGAAATGAGACTCAAAAATATTTGAACATCGTGACCTTGGCCGAGTTAATTTATTTAAGTTGGTTATCATATCTCATTTCTTACTAATATTATAATGGCGAATTTTTTGATGGATCGTTGTTTGTACGGTACTCGAGAATGGCTGAACGGATCTGGATAAAATTTGAAATAACAGATTAATTATAGTCCAAATTAGCCACGTATCATTTGCTACTTACTCCCCTAGACAAAGTCGCGGATAACAGCTAGTTATTTATAATTTAAGTATGACGATAATGTCTGTTTATTATTAAATAGCACACTTGATATAGTGAACAATGCTGTATCAAAATATCAGACATGTCCATTTTCGTGAATCTTTAGTTATCAACGTTAAGTAGGTCGTTCGTTCACCGATCTCCTAGAGTTCCTTATGTGGCCAGTGTTACGCGATCGCTTATTATTAATTTGGTATATAAGAATACAAAAAAGGAAGGTGTCATAATTTTTTGTGAATCATCTATAACGGATCAATTCACTGTCGGTGCACTAGCCACTAACAGAAGTACTAACACTAATTAAGGAACAGAAAAGATTATGTTTGTATTTTTACAAAAGATAATACATTAATAACAATAACATAAGTATAAAATAATTAACTACACAGTATACCCTAAGCTTTGTGGAAGACAACTTGGCCTTAACATAAAACTGACAATGATAAGTTTCAATGCCAAGGATAAACAGTCCTAGACCATCTAAAGCAATATTTTTTCAGTAAAATGTCTGTTGATATTATTTGCGCAGATCGATACTCCGGAAAAACGAAAAACTTGTAATTTTTTTTTCGATTATTATTAACTCAATTTAACATTAACTCGTTCCAAAATCTACAAATTGTAAAAATACGTCGAAGTTTTTGCAAGTTTCATGTTTTGTCATTCACCGGGTAGGTAAGTATAGATATTTCTATTTTCGTTAACCCAGTTTAATTTGTGCCAACTAAGAAAGATCGTTAAAATATGATTCACACAACCAAAAACTATGTTATTACTATGCATGTTTATAATAAAATATGCAACGGTTATAAATAAGTAACCGCTGACTTTTTAATACCTACAAATTTTAATTTATGTTCGTCCTAAGAATGATATAAAAAGATCGTTATAAAATACGTAAATACGTATGAAATCATAAACACTTGTACACACTGAAACTGCGAATAATGGTAAGCTTAATGATGCGCACCGTACTCAATTAATAAATAAAATTAAAGATACCGTTAGTTGTATGAAATCTGATCGGATTTGGTGTGAATCAAAATGAGTTGGTTTATAACGTTTGACGTTTTTACACCGTCCGACGCGACGTTTCATATCGACGTTACCGTAATAAACCCCCTTCTCTTTTTTATGACGCAACAATCGGTTTCCTTGCTATGCACGTTGTGCGTATCTGTACGTACAGTATACTGTAAACTTGTTTCGTCCATCGTCGTTCGTTCATTCTGTTTTTAACGTACGCGCCGGGTGGTCGTCCGCAGTTGCATATTTTTAACAACACGTGGCGCGCCGAAACGTGAATATAACCTATTCGCCGTCACAACAGCTGCTAAATATTGATCTGGTAAGTTTTTATAATAAGCTTTTATTTAAGTTAGTATAAATAACTACCGGTGTTTGTGTTTAAGTAGTTATGTTGCGCTGAACCAAAAAGAACGTCGACATTGGTTTATCATTTGCATATATTAATTTATTTTTTGTGTTATTGTTATTTTTTTATTTTTGTTACACATTTGAGCAAATTAATTACTGTCAATGTAGAATTTAGGTCTAGCTCGCATTGTAAATCTAGGTCGTGTTCGTTATCTTATCATTAATTATTAATTCAACCATAATTCTATCCTCATTAACAAAATAAAAATTCGTATATAGTATTAGTTTATTAATTTTGCTTTCCTACTAATTTTATTATTTAAACTGTGACCTAATTTTCGTACAAATTACTACAATTCAACGTTAAAAACGTACTATGTATAAGGATATACTTAGTTTTTATTTTAATATAGTACTAATAAAATCCTGATTATTTGTACGGTACAAATTCATTACACGTTCAATAAATAACTATAACACTAGCGGTCGATGACTTCCGTAATCCGTTAAATTAATCACACGTCACTGCATACAGTACAGAACAGTACCCACTACCCAATGACCTACTAATTTTTAACACCACTTCTATACACGAAATATAACGTAGGTTTTTTTATTTTATTTCGTGTTAATAATTTTTTTGGTATTATTATTATAAAAATAAATTATAATCAGTAGTTGAATGTTAATATTTGATAAAATGAATAGGACAACGTTTTTCGCGCGTTTTTAATTATGTACCTGTTTTATTTGTATGTCTGTTCCATTGTTATCTCTTATTACATCGATGTACCGATTTTCAAGTATGAGGTGTCACATCGTGTACTTCTATTCGTGGTATTTTTTTTAAATACTTGCTTATCTACTTCGAAATTCTAAAAATAAAATTTAGTTTCTCACTACAGTGATAAAAAATATTTTATTTACTTAAATAATTTTATAGCAAGGTTAAGAATTGCGTCTTCTCAGTATTGTGGCATCAGATGACAATCATAATTACTTTCACTGTAAAATAACATTAAAAAAAATCTATGTTAAAAAATATTAGTCGGTTAGCAACAGGCAGTGTTTCTAACTAATTTGACGAACAAAGGGTGGTTGGAAGAGGGAGAGAGCTCAAAGGCGAACATTCGACAGGGGGATTATTTCCGAGGGAAAGGGAGAAAAATACTTATTAAAATATAACTAATCACACTAAAGGTACTCAATGTAGGTCAAGCATAATACAATGACGACCTTACATTAAAAGTAGTACTTTGAACTAGCAATTATTAAAAAAAAAACAAAGCCCTAATAAGTTTCAAGAGCACCGCTAGCGGATGACCTAGACTAATTCCGGGAGGTAATTATAAAATATTTTTCTTAGTCCAAAGGTAATGGATGTATAGGGATTGTAAATATCGTAGTCCTTCGTTCTCTATTTGGGGGTGGAGAGGGGGGTTTAGCGGCTGTATCTGGCAATAAACATCTTCAACAAGTTCAATAGTTGCCGATGCGTTGCCTTGTTTACCTTCGACTTATCATTTTCCTCGTAATTATAATATTTATTACTACATGTATATTATTTAGCAATATTCTTATCACCCATCCGTTTTAAAAACATCTGATGATGATAAACTAGACAGGACTTACTCGTAAGTTTGACGACACGAAACTGTAAACAAATAAACTGACTCATTTAAATAGTAGTAAACTATTATCTTAAATATTTCATGGTTAAATTGTTGCGTAATTAAGTATTACTGGAAATGACTCATATCAAGACGATGAAAGCTTTATATTTGGGACTGAAAATATAACGATACATTAAAAGATCGCGAACCGTGTATTTTGGGATCTACTCGAGCTTGACAATTAGACATAAGGGAGGTACGTTGCACGTTACACACAAAAAAGTACTCTCATGCCACGCGTTTAAGAAAGCCGATTAGGATATAAATCGACAGCAACGCGTCAGACACGTCTTATTAGGTGGTAAACTTAATTTATTAATATGAATTGAAAACTCTATAGATGCTTTAAGAGAATTTAACTAGTAAGGTTCACAATTAGTTTCAAATCCAGTCTGAATTGTATCTTAACGTCTCGATGCCTCATTTATAAGGTCTTTAGGTCATCAATCAATCAACTGCTATTAGGGACCTTTCTTCAGCGGTTATTGGTCCTTTGAACGATATGACCTGCTCACTGACACTGCCCACAGCCCATTGTTAACCTTTGTTCTTACACTGATTTGATCTAACTTTATGACATATTTTGTGGATGACATTACGAAAAGAAATATCGTAAGTATTCGTAATAGATACTCTGTTTTGTCATTCATTTGACACAATAATATATGTACTAATTTTAATACGTATCTAATTTTATCTTATTGCACAATATTTTAGAATGCTAGACGTAACATCCAAATAACATATCTTTCTAATTAGTATAGGTATTATAAAAATGTTTGGATAGATGGATGTATGTTTGTTAGAAGGAAAAATGTTGTTTCTAAAAAAATATTAAACATAGCTTGGAAGTATTAAACATATAGCCTACCTAAGTTTTTCTTGTTACCTCGCGGACGGATTCACGGGTGACAGCTAGTATCGGATATATAATATATATCTGTTTATATACATCGCAGACTTCATATTCATTGAGGCCAAGCTGTCAGTTTGTGTAATGCCTAAGAAAAGCATTGTGTCTATTATTCTTATGTAGATTAAGAGGTTATCTATTTAAATGTATACAGATGCGTGCAAAATATATGTATATGTTTTATTTATGACGGTAAGCTAGTTATATAATATAGGAAGAGCATATAGTATTTAAAGTATTTTTAGCTAAAGCAGCGCTTAAAATTCGAAAACTATTTACTAAATATGTACATATAAGAAATGTCGTATTTATTAGGTTGATGTTTTTATCAACGATGTTTAGTATATATCTTATCATTCTTCTCAAAGTTATAAATAGCTTATCACATGAAAATAATGCAGCATTTTTTTAAAATATTCATCTTGTGCAATTCGTAAATAATTATTACTCAATGCTTTTCATATATTAGTATTTATATCTCATTATATATTTCTTAATCTATTTTTAAACTCTTGCGCATCACAGACTTGTACGAAATAATATTCAATCAACGATACTAAGATGGGTTTTCACTGAATTAGTGTGAATATTTTTATAAAAGTGTTACGACAATGTAAACGCATAATATATTTTACCAAATCGATAAAAGTACACTTAGGATAATTTAATGATTGCATTGTATAATATTACACACATCTTTGAACTTTGTATTTATGCAATGATTTGATATGTTGTAGAAATAAAATCTTCCGCGACGCCTTAATCTAGTAAAAGGTTAAAAGTTAACAATACTTTCGATTATAAAACATTTACGTGCTATAATATACCTACTCTATTTTTATCGTATCCGTGCTAATATTTTGATTGAGTTCTCATAATATTGATTATAAGGAACCAATTCAATGCCATATACAAAGATAGCCTAAAAGAATGCATTTAATGTCAATCTATCGGTTCATTGACCTATTATATCACATCAGAAATTCTGCATCAAAATAAACATGAACTAATTGCTGTCGTCTATAACTTGTCTTATTGTGTCTCCACTGGCGTAACACTTGTATAACAACAATATTGCTCTTTAATAGTCTTAGAAATATACATGGTTTACGATGATTAGGTAGCGTACACATAAAAATCTTTACAAAAGAATGCTACCTTAGTTTAATAAGTTCCTATTAGATGTAAAATAAAACTTTTATTCAACAGAAGGTTTTTTGCGAATAATATGTGCATACTTAAATCCATTCCATTAGGACATGTAGCCTAAACAATTAGTTTGATTTAGAATACTGTCTAGGTTCATACATCGGGCTTATTCGTTACATAAATGACTAATTAGTCTGTTATTATACTTACATTGAAGACTAGACGTGGTGAACGTGTTTTGTATATAAATTATTTGACACAACTATAATTATGTCAAGGAAGAAAGTTGCTAACTTTAATTGACGCATCCTTGCAGTCTTAAGATTCTACTTAATTAAATCTGTTAAAAAATATAAAATTATCGTCATTTAATTTGTTTTTACACCATGGTACTACTATTATAAGTATTTAAAAAAGTCACAATTAAATAAAAAATTGAGGACAGAGAAAATTCTGCTAAACTAACTGTCAACCTTCGATAAATCAAAGAGGCAGTTCAAGGGGAGGCAAGATGTGGATATTTGAAGAATCTAGTTATCACTGAATTATCACCTATCAAGCTTGGAAGGGTCTTTGATACTATAGTAGTAAGATTTGGCTGCGCGCCGAGATTGTATCGTATTTTAGAATAATTTCTTTGTCTGGTCTATTCTCCGCTACTTCAGTGTTTGGGTACGTACTTGTAGATTGCAATTTATTGGTATTTACTCGAGTGTAATTATCGAATCTTAGTTTTCAAGTACTCCTTTGTCTTAGTTTACAACAGTTAATAAACTATGACTTTCAAGATTAAGTATTAGTCTCTATGACAATAGAGTCAAAGAAAGTCACTTCTTGACTCATCAATTGTCATAAAATCTTGCATATGGTGCTACTCATTGAACACACATAGTTGTCGAATTAAACTTATAGAAAGAAACTTTCCTCTTAGTTAGTGCGGTAATAGGATTTAAAAAGCATTTTCAAGGTTGCTTTAAGCAATCAGAATGCACAACTCAGTTATTATCGTAAAGAAATATCTAAGCATAATGAAATGTTTTTTTTTATACATCATAAGGTGGCAAACGAGCGAGCGGCCACCTGAAATCGCTAAAACAGCGAAGTGACCGTTGCCCATAGACATACGCAATTGCATATGCGTTGCCTACCTTTAATCGACGGAGAAGAGTATGCCCAGAAAGAAAATATTTTCCCTTTCCATGCATCCTCTTATCCGGAAAGTCCACTTCCACTTCC